GGGGGGGGGGGGGGAGGTCAAATTATTGAGTTTACATAAAATTTAATTAATACGTACTTACTTTAATTAATTTAATTAAATACTTTTCTTAATTTAATAACAATTATCCCCCCCCCCAACCAGCAAAAAATTTCTAGTTGCTCTACAGTCTTAAAGGAAAGAAGCAATAAACGGAAAGAAAAATAAAGGAAAAGATTCTTACCAAAACATTTATTTTTTTCATTAATCTACATATTTAAAATAGTAGTTTGTTAGCTTACTTTGAATTTTCAGTTTGCGTTTTTTTTTATATTTCACGCTCATTTCTTATCATTTTAAAACAAAGATTGCAAGACAGAAAAATATTGCTCGCTAAAACCGGGTCTTGCTCGTTAAAAGCGACTCCTGTTCTATAGACTTAACATTGATCCAACCAAATATTCTCGTTTCCCTCGGTAAATCCGAGTTCTCGTTAAATCCGAGCTCGTTATAAACGAGTTCGACTGTAATTTTTATTTCAGTAGTGTAACATTCTTTTTCACCCTCTCTTCATTATAGTCGAGAGGCTTCAGCTGGGGACAAAGAAAGGTTAAAAGATTCTGATAGCAAAGCACCAATAGCTAAAAGGCACATATTTATGATTCGTCATGGTCAGTACAATATGAAAGCCAAGAGTGATGCAGAAAGAAAATTAACAGAACTAGGTATTTTAAGTGTGTTTATGCTGTTCAGTATTGCTGTTAAATTACTCAAGATGATAATTGAAAGATGGTAATTTAAAATATGAAACATAAATTCATTTAATTAATATTTCATACTTTTCAACAGGTTTGATATAGTTGATTCAATAATTATCAATACATAAATATGTTAAAATTACAACTATCTTAAAATTTATACTTTAGATAATTATTACAAACTGTTAAATTGTATAATTTATACTAGCTTCACATAAGTTTGAAGTGAAAAATGCATTCTAAATATAATACTTTTAAAAATTTTTGCATACTAAAAATAATGAATATTCCTTAAATATTTGTCATTTGGTTATTCAGCCAAATCACGTTTTAGTGCATCTTTAAATATTTTTTTTTGATTCTATGGTTTATTTATTTTTCAACAGTAGCCGTTTTTATGTGGTAGTTTCTTATCCAATGACATTGGTAGTTGAATATTTAAGTGACATTACATATGGCATGGATATCTGAGAGAATTGAGTAATTTCTCACAATGTTCAACTTATATACATCTTTTGTATCATTTTTTGAAATCTTACTTTTAATACTGAAATTATTTAGGATTCAACATAATAATTATTATTATTAGATAACAGATAATAATCATTTTTATTCAACCAAAAATCAATATGCTTTTAAATTATAAATAAGTAGGTACTTGTTTTTTCGACATCTAAAAATCAATATATTTTTAAGGTTGATTTTTTAATAAAAAAATTTGATTAAAATCAATTTATTTTTTTTATTTAAATCTGATTTTCTTAAAAGATAAAACAAGAGGTTCATTTTGCAATAAGTTAAAATTAATAAATTAAATTATTGTTAAAATAGAATTTAGAATGAATCATAACCAACTATTCCAAACCATATTATTGTATCAAATTTTTTTTTGTAGCAATACATACCATAATGATTATAATGAGGATACAGTGATTCAATTTATTAAAAATGGAATAGAAATGTATCATTAAATACTGAGAAGTAGGCAAAATAATAATATAAATAAATAATATAAAAATATAATTTATGGATCTTTTCTTTAAACTTAACACAAAAAAGAATAGTTATAATAAAATCCATATTCAATAACAATTTTCACTTTTTTCTTATTTGCGGGACTGTCGATAAATTACAAATGGAAATAAAATGCTTTTGAACACTCTATGCTAAGAAGAATTTAGCAATATATTTGTAACTTAAAGCTATTATTTTGGTTATTACATGCAATAATTACACAAAATTTCATAAACTTAGCCTAAATATTTATATAGATCTGGACATTTTTATAAAAAATGATCTTAAATTTTTTCGCTATCACTTTAAAAATATTCAACTAAATTTAACAAAACTTTTGGATCAATTTAAAGTTGATCTCAAAATTATTTCTTTAAAATTTGAGAAAAATTTGCTAAAAACTGCACAAGATATGAGTAATTAAAGTAATTTTTTTATTCTGTTCATGCGAAGAAAAAATTAAAAGCTTTTTTTTCTTAATCTTGTAGTGAATCCTAATTGGCAACTAATGAAAAGAATCCGATTTAAATATCTCAAAAATTTAAAAAGTTTCAAGCAATTTTCTAAGCAGTTTTCTTACTTTTAAAAATTTTAAAGGGTTTTCTACAAACTTCATTTTGTACCATTAAACAAGATTTATTAAAAGTGGCATTGTTGTGGCTCATCCTTAAGAAAAATATCTTTTCTTTTGCATGTTTTATTTTCTAATACCATCATTTTTTGTTGTATGGACCATCATTAGAAGGGTATTATCATTTGTTAATAAATCTTGTTTAATAGTACAAAATGAAATTTGTGGAAAACAGGTTATTATTTATAACTTTCTTTTGAAAAGTAAGAAAACTACTTAGAAAATTGTGTGAAACTTTTGAAATCTTTTAGATATTCGAATCTTGATAATATGATCCAAAAGTTAATATTTTTAAAGTTATAGCGAAAAAATGTAAGACAGAGAAAAATCATTTTTTATAAAAATTTCTAAGTTTATGAAATTTTGTGCAATTATTGCATATAATAACTAAATTAATAGTCGTAAGTAAGAAATATATTACTGCATTTTTTGGCATAGGGTGTTCAAAAGCATTTTTTTTTCCATTTGTAATTTATGGACGGTCTCACAAACCTTAGAAAGTTTTTAACTTCAATGATATGTATGAGAAATATCAGGATCGATACATTTCTAAATTTATAAACTGATTCTCTAAGTATTTTTAAGAGAAATATCGAAAAATGTGTTAGTATCAAAATGTTTCCATTATTTTGCCCATCTCCTATATAAAAATCTATATATATATATGATATAAAATGTTTAAAATATCATTTTAAAAGTAAATTAATTAATTTCACCATAAGTACTATTATGCAAATTCTTAAATTGATTTATTTAAATAGAAGTCTTTTAATCAATGATTTATATAAACACAGTTGATTTCAATCTACAACCTTTATTTAAATTACGAACAATATTTGTTATTACTCAACCTAAAAAGTCTGAGTGTTTTTAAATTAAAAATAACATTTATTTTTACTTTACCTAAAAAATCAGTGTGTTTTATAAATAACAAACGCTTTTAGGTCGGAAGCAGGCAGAGTTAGTGGGGCAGCGTTTGAAAGACTTGAAATTCAACTACACCAAAATGATTCGATCTACGATGACTCGTGCTATAGAAACTTCAGATATCATACACAAGTGTTTCCCAAAGTTACCTATAGAGAGCTGTGATTTACTTCGAGAAGGAGCTCCTATTCAACCGGATCCACCGTCAAATAATTGGAAGTTTGACGATGAGGTCTGAAACTGTATTTTTTATTTATTTGAAGTCAATGTTGTGTGTATTATTATGTTAACTGTTAATGTCTTTAATTTTGGTTTTCAGAAATCAGAATTATATTTTTACACGCATGCTCGATAACAGAAATCCTCCAACGCAGCAGTGGGCACTGCAGATTATTTTTCATATGACTTTTATTTTTAAGAAACAATGGAGAAAATTGCTAAAATTCTTTTTTTAAAATATCTCCAAATTTGCGTCTAATAAAAATTAAAAAGATGAATTAAGAACAAGAATTGTATAGGAATTATTTTATGTATCATTGCATAAAATTCAACTTAAATTTAAACAACATAAGAATTAACAGTTCGTAATTATTAGTTATGGGTATTGATGTTTATGTGGGTAACAACTCGAAAAAACATTCGTCAACACATGATCTTTATAACCGATACGTAGAAGATGAGATTTTGGACGACAACAACGGATAGATGCTCCAAACATATTTAAGCCCTAAAAAGACTTAGATCAGTCAAGGTCTCAATTAAATGAGCCCCATATTAAAGTAAGGAAAATTTTTAATAGCAAAAAATCTTTTGTCTTGGCTTAAAAAAGTATAATAAAACTTGTTGGCAAGCTTTGCTTTAAAATGTATTGTTTACTGTTTTAGATCAGTGTATCCTTTTGTCTTAAAGAAGTTTATAACAGTTAAAGTTAATTTTGTTTGGGTGGAAAAATCCTTATAAATGAAATCCATTGGCTTGCATAATTAATAACAACCAATAACTACACTGTTTGATTTTGACAATGTTGCTAATTTGATTTATTTTCCATCAAAGATGCCATTGAAATAATTAGCATATTTTTTTAAGTGTTAACCTATGTAAATATCGGACAAAAATGTAGAGGGGAAAGTGCATCGTGCAATATATTCAAATTTAAAATAACATTATCATAAGTGTATGATAATAATTTTAAAATATGCTTTTTGATAAATTATGTTGTAATGTTTCTAATTGTAGCAATATCGTAAAGATGGTGAGAGAATAGAGAAAGCTTTCAAGACTCATTTTCATCGGGCAGATGTCAATCAAGAATCTGATAGCTACGAAATAATGGTTTGTCATGCAAATGTCATTCGGTATTTTATTTGCAGGTAATAAGCAATGTTCTTATTCAAAAAAGTAATAAAATTGAATAATTCACTATAGAATGATAGTTGCTACAAATATTTTTAAAATGTAGAGAACTCAGTTTTAGAAAGTTGTTTTTATTTTCTTTTACTAAAATTATTAAGTTTCCAGCTCGTAACAAATGTATTTTTAGGTACAGCACAAAAATGTTTGTTTACAAAGCAAATAAGTTTGTAAAAAAAAATATATATATAATAATTGTTGTTAATAAATTATTTTTACCATAAAATAATTTTCACCTGCACTTTTAGATACGAATATAAGACAAGTATTAAAGTGATATATATCTTTTCTGTGCTCTATTTTTTAAAAGAATAGATAAATAACTCTTAAAAAAGTTATTATTTAATCTATCTAATCCACATGTCTTTATGTTGAACTTTTGTAAGCAATTCACAGTTTCTTTCATTATGTAAGGAGGTTTCCATAAATGTTACACTTCAAGGGGATGGAGAAGGTTTGTGAAATTGTGACAAAGGGGTGCAAGGCAGTCGTAAGAAGTGTGACATCACACATTTCGGTTAAAATAAAAATATTTAAAATCAAAATTTTCTTTTGCATATTTTTTTTTATGTATTTCTCACGTAATTTCTTTTATATTTTTTTCATTTTTTTCTCAAAATAAGTAAATATCACTATTATATTTAATATATATAAAGTTTATGTACATTAAATATAATATATAAACTTTATATTAAATAACAATTAATATCAAAATTGATATTAATTATTTATTTTTGTGATCACACAATATATAATCTTGTGCTCTTAATTTTTTTAAAATTTTAAGCTTTTATGAACTAATTATGCTGCCAGTTTTTAATCTTTCTTTATAATTCAATGGATGTGTAACAGTCGCATGTAGGAGCATTATAATTCAATCGAAGCAGAATAGTTGGCTACAGGAGCAACTGTATTAAGTCTAATTTCTACCTTTAAAAGCTTATATCTTTCAAGGCAAAAAGAAAAAAAAAAGTATTGCAAAAATCGAATTTTGTTTTTTTAATTTGCAGGATTTAAATGTAATAATTTAATTTGTATGATTTAAATCTAATTAGTTTAATTTGTTTGATTTTAAATTAATAGAAGAAGTATCTCGGCAAAAGGATGTTACATTAATTGCAAGGCAAAATCACTCTGCCCAATTGCATCCAAACAGCCCTCCCAAAAAAAGTTATATTTTTTTCCCTAGTTTATATTTAAGGAATAAAAATCTTGCTACTACTTTTTATTAATTTTATATTCTGGGGTCAAATTTACTTATCCACATGGGTTGACAAGTTTACTCAATGGGTTAGCTTAAAAATCTTGCTATCACGCTTTATTTATTTTTTAAACTTAGAGTCACATTTACTTCAATGTACAAAATAGCAAGTTTATGCAGTGAATTACTTTAAAGCACGATTTTCAAGTGATGCTTTATAAAATCTGTTACTACAATTGTCAAAAATTAACTTGCCAAATATTCATTAGTCATTTTAGGCACCCCTTGTGAAAACCATTTTAGGCACCCCTTTTATGAAAATTGAATTGGTATCAGAGGTTATTTGTGCACACTGAATTGAATATAGTGAAAAAGTGTTATATGTTTCTTTAAAAAAGTGCATTTTTTCGTCAAAATAAGCATATTTGACCAATGCTACAGTTAGCTGCTATGTATAATTTAAGTGATTTCTTTGAGATGCCATAACTCTTAACAGAATGAAAATCTGATTAACCATTCAAAACTTATATAGATGATCTTCTTTTTTTTTACTGACTGTAAATTTTAGATTTCATATATATATATATATATATTTAGATCTATAAATGTATATTTTACAAATAAAAAGTAAATTTCAATTATTAAATTAATTATTTATTTTTGTACATCTTTGAATGCTTGAGTTGATGCTAGTTGTTGCAAAAAATATTTAATTCTCATCTATTTAATTATGTTTTTTAGATATGGCAAAATATTCAAAAAGTAAACATTAAAAGATTCAAGATGTTATCTGCCTTTCCATATAAGTGCCATATTTTGAGAGTTAAAAGCTATTTGTTCAAAGATAGTACATTTTCTTGTCTAGTTTAGTAATTTAAAATACTTAATTAGCATATATATTACCCAGGGATGCACAACCTTTTTTTTTTTTACAGTGGGCATCAAAAACAAAAAAGGGCCTTGTTGGGGCTAAGATGAGTAAAATAAAATTGTAATAGTAAAAATATAACGTTTATTTAAATCCTTATTAAAATGATAATGCATATACGTAGTGAAGTTTAAAATTAGTAGGAAATAACATTTTGCAAGCACCAAACTCATGATCATAAATTGAACAAAATCATTGCAATCAAGCTCAATCTTGTACTACATAAGTAAAAGAGCAGGATGACCAATAAAATAAATAAAATTAATTAGTATTTATTTTTCAAGGAAAAAAAGACTTTTCCTCTTGATTTTTATTAATTTTTTTATTAAAAATACTTTTTTTTATTATGTTTTTTTAATATTAAAAAATGATCAAATTCCAAGTAATAAATTTTAAAGACTAATTTTGGTCTGTGCGTCATAGGTTATGCAATTATTACAAACATGTCTTTCAAGATCACGAAAATTACATCTTATTACTTGAAAGTGCAATTACTAGATGACAAGTTATTGATTTTAGTCTTTCTTTTATTCATTTATTTGTGCTCTGTATTTTGTTACTAAATTTGTTATGAGCTAAAACATCCTTAATTCTTTACAGGTTGTTGCAGTTTCCACCTGAAGCCTGGTTGCGCTTTCAGCTGCATCATTGCAGTATCACATGGGTTGTTATCATGCCGTCCGGAAGGGTTGGCGTGTACGGTATAGGGGACAGTGGATTCTTTGATTATGATCACATGACAGGTTGAGAAATGATTGGACGAGTTCTGTGACACGGAGTCAGTAGAACACACTCTGATTTGCTTAAACTTTTAGAATGTAAAGCAATTGTTCTACTCCTGACTTTTCGAACTATCTAGTTCATGTGATAATATCCTTTAATAAAATTTTTTATCCATATTTCAAATATATATATGTTACAAAAAACTATAATAGTACTGATTAAAATCTTATTCTAATTATCATTTTCAAAAAGTTATGGAATATCCATATTGAATTTGTTTTGATAAGTCTGCTTGAATTGCACCGTTAAAATTCTCAATACCTGATAGATATGAATTTCTATATTGTTACAATAAAGATAATTGACCTGGTGCCAGAGAAATTTTATTTACAGATAAAAGCTTGTTATTAAAATATTTGATTTAGCTCTAAATTATTTATTTATATTTTTAAAAAAAGTAAAAGGGTAGGAATGTCTTCACTCTCCTATATTTGGTTAAACTGTTTGATCTTTTTTAACTCATTTTGTCCATTGTTGTTTTAAGCAGTTTTATCATTTCAGAGTTCATTATGCATTAACAATTTTATTTGTCAATTCTATTATTGTTTACTTAAAAAGAATGAGAGAGAAAAGACTCTCCTATATTTGTTTAAACTGAATAAACTTTTTCAACTCGTCATGTCCAATTCTTACTTAAACAGTTTTATCAATTCAGAGCAAGCTCCACTTAATTCATGTTTTCAGAACTCACCTATTAATCATCACCTTCAGTCCAAAGAGTTTAGTCATTTTATCAAAAGGCTTTAAACTTGAGCTTTTGAAGAAAAAAAACTTGTTTGTTGAATTCTTAAATTTTGTACTTGAATGTATTGAAAATGATTTTTAGTAATTATGGAATTGTGTGTTATTTATGTTACTTATGAATATGTTTTGTTTATGTACAGATAACAAATAATGTTTCCATGTTTAAAAATTTTCAAGAATAAACTGAAATTGTTGGATAAATTTTGAGCTTAACTTCATTTCATCACTCCAACTTTAAAAAAGCTTAGTGATAATACGAGAAAAGTTTGAAGTAAGAATGGAAATTTGAATCCGCTTTTCTGTGAAAATAATAATATTCATAGCTGCCAACTCTACTGGATTTTCCAGGACTCCTGGATTTTGCCAATTTCTTCTTTTCTACTGGTTTAGTTAAAATTCTCCTGATTTTTGTACATTTTAGAAAATGCCTTAAAGTTTTCTAAAAAAATCTTTATTGAAATAGAATTTTTGTATAAATTCTTTCTTGCTTGCTAGAATATTTAAATAAGTATTACCAATACATTACATAATGAAGCGAACCTTATTTATAGAAATCAGTTCAAAACTTTTTTTGTTCTAAAAAGTTCAGTTCATTTTTATTCGGAACGTTCTTTTTACATTAATTAAAAAAATATTTTAACTATTTTTGATGAATTAAATGCCTATTAATATTCGAAATTATGAGTAAACATAATACATAACATATCAAGTATGTTTAAAGGCAATCATGACTGGAAAATATTGCAGTTTTTCTATTTTGATGACTTTAAAAATCCCTAAAATTCCCTATGCGTTAAAGTAATGATTATCATGAAATTTATATTATTTCTAAAATCCCTTTCGTGGTGAATATAGATTCATAAATTTTCTGAGTACTATTCTACTCAGTTGACTAATATTTTATGCCATTTGAAATAGTGATTCCCATCTCACCATTGTCAATTTTATTGAAACTTGGTATTCATACATCTAAAATTATTCAACTAAATGGATTGTTTTTATTATAGCCTTAACATTACTTCAATAAGTAACCAAATTTTACTCTAAAAATTTGCATCAAAAAATTACCATTTGTAAAAAGTTTTATTTAAATACTTGGAATCTTTTTTATTGTATTATCTCATATTTTTAAGCAGTATCTCTTGCATATTTCTGTGAAATGTTCAAAAATCTATTACACTGTACTCTCGATATCTCAAAGCTGAGGGAACGATAAATTAATTTCGAGATAGCGAGTTTTTGAGATAACAAGTTTAGAACTAAATATGTTCTAAAAAGTAGAAAAATATATTCTAAAATATTAATCTAAAAATTAGAGTCATGAAACATGAGAATAACTACTGATAATTATGTATGTGATGATAGTTGACTATAAGTCTAAATACAACAATGACAATTTTATTTTTAAAAGTAAGACAAAAATAATTACGCATTAAATAGAAAAGAATTGGTTTACATCAAATTTACATTGTGATTTTTCCAAGAGAATTCGACGTAACAAGGTTTTTTGAGAAGACACTCTTTGACATAGGAGTTCAAATTAACATTAAGTTAGTCTTAACATTATGTCTGTAGAAAAGCTATTTTTTTGACATAGCAAGGTTTTCAAGATATTGAGACTATACGGTATTTTATTTTCACATACATAAATTTTAAGCACACTCAAGAACATTGTCTTAAAAACGTAAGAGGAAACAAACAGAGCACTTTCTACAGCAGTGCAAACAGGAGAGAAAGCTTTCACTGAATTTGAAAGCATGATATAGTGACCTTTTATTTATAAGCAGGGGCAGTGGAAAAACGTGTATAAGTGAGATATGCATGTAAATGAAAAATCATAATAAAGAGTTTAAAAATGGGATTTCAAAACATTATAGTGCTAACTAATACTGTGTATAGTCTTTTAAAAATAATTCCATAGACTGTCAATAATTTTATTTAAAACAAAAATCTTTAAGTGTGTTAAATAAAGCATTAGTTTTTATTAAATTTGCCTCTGTTCGAAAATTTATTTCTTTTTATAAATGTAAGAAAAAATAAATGGAAAGAAAATGTAAAGAAAAAAAAAGTTTTACAATTTTAGTAACTAATGCTCTAAGTTTTGTTTTAGTAAATTACTACCACAGAAAGTTTAACCTGGTTGTTGTTTTGGAAAAATCTAATGATGGTAAACAATATTAAAAAAAAAAAACTTTGATCATTTATTACAACCACTATCTGCCGGAAGAATGAGAGATTTGTTAATGTAAAAAGGTCTTGCTATTTTATAAATTGATCAGTATTAAATTTTCTGAGTGGAGACATTTCCACTGGGCCATTTAATTAAAGAGAGGAAAATCTTTTATAACCATTCATAATAAAATATCTAAAATAAAGATAGTCACTATTAAAGAAAAAAGTTTATTTAACAAACTCTTATTTTTTAAATTGTTTCTGGTTCAACAATCTGGTGTTTTGTCTTCTGTAACACAGTTTTGCCTATCTGCTAAATTTAAAGAAATTTTGAGTACAAGCTAGCAAAATACTCTGTTTTGTCCACTCTATGCCAATTTATCTTATATAATCAGATTTAATAGACTGATTATTTTATTTAATAGACTGAATAGCTATACAGTAAGAAACTAAATTTACATCAACTAATGTTACACTTGCAGATAATATAGAATTAATAGTGAAAAAATATTTGATGCATTATAAATAATGAGCCATAGATTAAAGAAAAAAAGAACTAAATTATTTCATGTTCGCTATTATTTTTTGTTTTGAAAAAAATAGCAAGTTATAGAATTGCGTTTGAAACTGCTTGTCTATGCTTAAAAATAATCAACATTGCTTCAACATTACAATGAAACAAACATCAATAAAAAATTTTATTTAACGGATCAAATCAATTAAAAATTAAATCGTAAAAATTTGGAAGAAAAAAAAATTGATTTTATTCTTTTAACTACCTCCTTTGATTTCAAACAGTTTTTCTGATGTTAAAATATCCTAGAATTTTTTGCATAGCTGTGTGGTTTTTGTAGCTTATGTAATTTTTTTTTGTGTGTTCAAAACCTGAAAAATATCAGTTATAATGATTCAAAATATTAGTATATCATAAGCGATCCAAAATATACCAATTATGAAGAACTACCTGTGTATTAAGTGGATTAAAATTGGTTACATTAGTTTCTAATTTGTTACTTATTATAACGCATTGAAAAGCACTAAATAAGTCCCATACATGGATTTCTTTTATGGTTATGTTTATTTATTTCATAAAAAGCGATACATTTCTATTTTTAGAATAGTGCAAAATAATGAATTTCGTCACATTTTTGACCTTGAACGAATCATAAGATTCTATGCGAAAAAATTGTCTGAAAAGGTTATTTGTATCAAAAATATTGCAATTTTTTAAAAAAATTTTTGTGAATAAAAACTTTGACCAACGAGTGTAAATTCAATTATATTTTTTTCTCAAAAATCACTTTGTATAGATTTGCAAACAGGAAAATTTTAAAGTGTATCAAATGTTCTCTGGATAATATTAAAGAAATATTACATTAAATATCTGGAATATTTTTATAATTTGAATAAATTTGTGCAATTTCGAGTAGAAGGTTTTGCATGTGTTCAATTTTCAAAAGAAGTTATCAATTCTAGACACAGGAATAAGTTTATGTTTATTTATCAATAATTTTAGCTGTCATTATTAATTTTAACTTAAGTAAAAAATGTTTAACTTTGAAACTTTTTGTGCATGAATTCTAAAAATTTGACGCTATTTCAATTGTTGAATTGTATAGTGAATATTTGAATTAATTTCATCCGTAATTTATAATTTATTTAATCCATTTTCTACTTGAGTTTCTATACAAAAAGACCCACTTATAATGAGCTTGCATTTAATGGAATTACGGATTTAATACGCAATCTGGAATGTTTTGTTTAGTGCTTTGTTTAAAAACTGATCAACTTCAAATGTATTTTTGACAGATGGTATCATTTGAAAACATTTAAAATTCTGAATTTCCTAAAAACTCGCAAAAGAAAAACCCTCATGCAAATTGAATTTAATGATACCGTGTTAAAATTTAGCATGTTTTACGTAAAATGACTAATAAAAAAATAATGCTCTTTGTGGGAAATGTTTTTAATATCAATTAATATCTCTTTGGACTAAAATTTATTGCTGAGAGATGTTAATCAATTTTGATTTTGAAAAAAGGGCGAAATCAAGGTTATGGCTTGATTGAAATTTACTGTCCTGAAACTCCAACTGCGGGACTCCCTGCAGGTCATAGTCAACCCCTAGAGGTTTGATGTAGATCACTTTGGGTATATAAGGACTAGGGGAGATTGCGTATCGTGATCTGTGGCAGAACAATCACCAAGTCTTGGAAACTTCCGGGCAGCGGCCCACGAGAAACTTAAAAAAAAAAAAAAAAAAAAGTTTAANAAAAAAAAAAAAAAAAAAAAAAAAAAAAAAAAAAAAAAAAAACATCGCCGAAAGGAACCAACTCGAAAGGTATAACTCGTAGCCACTCCCGGGCAAAAGCTAAAATAAAAACAATCGAAGATGAAATTAAAAAACGAAGATGGAGCTGGCTCGGACATATCCTTAGAATGCCCAAAGAAAAAATTTCATCTNCAAAATCTATTTGGCACCTTGGCGATTGCGGCTGATGCGACAGATCACGATACGGAAATATCCCCAAGGTCTACTCTAGACTACTGTAAATCTCGTGAGCAAACCATTTATGGAACTTAGTTTTAGTTCGTTAAAGTTAAAAATTAACAAAACTTTTTATCTTATTTCTTACTTATACTATCATTAAAATTCTTATTATTTTTATTATCAAACTCCTATCCATGTGAAAGAATTTGCCGATTCTGCTAACAAGGTCTGAGACATGTTTCTCGATGGCTTATCACGTCAATGATTTCAGACATGGTAATTGGTACCATGTTTCTTAATTGCTTATTTCATAAAAAAAAAAATTAAATGCAAATACTTCCCATTAACAATATGTCACTTTATTATTTTGATTCCATTGCAATTGTTAAAAAATCTAACTTGGTATCATCGTTAATAGTATTAGGAAATGATTCCTATGAGTCTCTATTCCAACACTTTATTGCATGAAAAATTTCCTTTCAAAAACCCATATATTGTTGGAAACTACATTATAAAGTCGCTGCTCACTATAGTGAACCGTCTGTGGATCAGCAATGATTTCACTATAAACGGTGACTCACTATATTCAAAGTATTATTTATTGAAAATAGTAATTGCAAAACACTTAATTTGGTTTGTAAATTATTAACTAGCTAAATATAGGGAGTTTCTTTACAACATAGTTCCCTTAGAGCGTATTCCTTCCTATAGCGCATTTTTCAATCCGAACTTTAAATAGTAATCAAAGTATTCTCCATATAATGAAGTGGTTGTCTACATATAACGAACTTTCTATACGTTCATCGTTTCAAATTTGTCATTTCTAGAATTTTTGAGATCTTTTTCATTGTTGTAGTAAGTTGCGATTCAGTTTCCTATGTGCACATTTTTGGAAACACTCGCTTTATTCATCCCACTTATTTTAAACTCTCTTTATTAAGTGTATTGTTTCATCTTAAACTAAAAATTTTACTTTTATTCTTTTGAACTTATCAAATAGAAATTTTCTTAAACATTTGTTTTAATACCTGCCACTAAAAATGAATTATAAGTTTCTTATCTGCTCATTATAAACGTATGAAATAATATTAGTTAGATAATAGTTCGGGCATGACCATTAAAAACGTTAATCACCGCTGAGTGCTCTCTATATTCCCATAGTGCGTAACGTTTTTTTTGCTTATTTTCCATTTTCGTTTTTTAAAAGCTCTTAAAGGTGCTTTTTTCATTGAAGGTTTTTTAAAAGTGCTTAATATTCCCTTTTTGAAAATGAGATTATTTTTTTTAACCATGTCGGTTTTCGTCATGTATTGTGCAAAAGTGCGGTTTTCACATTGTTCTATTCAACGTTTTCACAATCCATTTTGGCGTACCGTTGGTCCGTAGCGTATGCAAGGGCCAATCATTTTACATGTTTGATGAAATATTTGCGAGTCCGCATGTGCTCCTACTGAGCTGCATTCGCTGAGATTCTACATTTCTCATGTGCAAATCTGCTGCATTTTGAAAGACATTCTCAATTTTAGGCTTCCTTTTCCTCCCTCTGAAATCTAACCGAAAAAAACTTTTGTTTTTTTATGGTGGCTAATATAATCAAGAAAAAAGTTCTTTGTCAGAAACTTGTTACTTTATCATGATCATGTAAAGTCTTTGAAAATTATTTTGCATTTTGTTAATGTATATAGTGTGACCACTGTACTGACGTAAAATATTTTCAGTGTTAGGGGGACTATGGTTTAGAATCCCCTTCCCGTCAGGCTAACCGTGGGAGATTTTCATGGTTTTCTTCTCCATGTAAAGCAAATGCGGGTTGTTTCCATCAAAAAGTCCCCCAAGAAAGGGTAGTTAATCCCAATGCTTGTTCAGGAGTTTATTTGTCTTCTGGGTTCGGTTGAGAATTACAAGGCTACGGAGTTGAACACTGGTATAGTCGCTGACACAAAATTGTGTCGGTTGGTTGTTCATCAACGGTTATAAAATTAAATAAAACTCCAAAAGTAATTTTCTTGGTCCTTTTTTGTTAAGATGTAAAAAGTTTTTGAAATGATGCGATTTTAATATTTTGCGCAAGCATTGCTCCTGTCCGCTTGTCAGCAAAAAGAAAATTCTAAAACCTCGCTTTAAATATTTGAACGGCACATACAGAGACGACATTAAATTCGACACAATGCATAAATATCGCTGCAGACCCTCTTGAAACGGAAGGTTTTCCATCAAAGAGTGGGCGCCAAATGTTTTATTGACCTATCATAAATAGGGAAAAGATAAGAACAACTAAAAGTCACACCTTATCACCCAACGCCCGATTTCCGAAACTCAATCGGCAGAAATAAAATGTCGAGCGGGAGCAGTAATAGTTCTGAAAATACTCCACTTCTAAATGGAAGTCACGAGGGCCCCTGCTATGCCTACTCCTACACGCAAAGGTATGATTTCTTTTCTTCCCCCCCTCCCAGTGTCGGTGCTATCATTGACCTTAAATCTTTACATGTTAATTTTATCATCAAACTATTATTATCATTTTAATATTTGGCTTAAGCGAATTATTTTATGCGGAATAGAATTTTACTATCAAAATAGTTGAGCTTAAATATTAATTTCAAATAGTAGGTTGTTAAAATTTAACTATTTTTAACCTCTCGGAAAATGAAAGAATATTTCGTTGGAAATAATTCCGTGCCGTAGAATAACTTACCGCTTATATTAACAACTAAAATGAATTTAGATTTATAAGAATAAATATCGTTTGATATTTTAAAAAAAATAAATTCTCCACTGATTTTACACTCCTCTTTCCAGATGACTCTAATCGTGTCCAAATATTTCTACATGCCACTACCTTGATCCTAGTCCTCTGCGACCACCTATCTTTGAAATAGGTTCTCAACGGTTTAAGTAAAATAATTAGAATCTGATATTTAAATTAAGAGATAGAAAAATAAAAAAATTGATTCAAACCTCTAAATAATTTGAACGAGTGGGCGCACTTAAAAAGATTCTGAATTGTAGGAACAAGAAATGGCACATATTGATATTTAGCATCGAAAAGGTATTCAAAGAAAAGTATCAATACTACACAATATAGAATAGCAATCGTTATTAAATTTTGATAAATGTTTTAGTTTATTGATACTCATAATAATGCATTAGTATCAAAAGACGATAATAATTATGAAGAAAATATGCTGATGCATTAAAATTATGAAGAAACAAAATATGTAATTATAAAGCGGTGACGAAAACAATAATTCTAACTAATAATCTTCTAAACGAGTCAAATTTAGGTTATAACGATTCCGATAAGGCAGCATTTTCATTTAGCCAAAAAATACTAATTTATTTCTTAAAAGATTCTTTTTAGTAGAAACTTGTTAAAAAATTGTCAAAAAAATAAAATACATACGATACAATATGGGGTAAAATCGAGATACTATAGTTTGCAATCGAATGCTTCGGATTCTTGTATTCAATTCAAGAATGTCTGGGTCTTAACCTCCTAGAACAAAGGACTCGTCAATTGCTTACACCAGTGGTTAATTATATTAGGATCCAATCGATTATTTATGTAATATTTCGTCTGACATTATTTTAAGTAAAATGCCAATAAAAATGAAATATATTTAAAAATGCAGATTTAATTTTTTAATAACAATACATTGAATAAATTAAGAATTGCGTTAGTATTCGTTTTTAGCAAATCAAAATAAATGAATTCGTTGATAAAGAAATATGTTTCCCTAATAACCAATTTCAAAATTTATAGCAGTTCTTTTTAGTTTTCATTTCAAAGAAAATCTTCATTTGACATATTTTATTCATTTTTAACTTATGTATATGCACAAAGAAAAAAAAATCGTAGACTTATAAATTACTTCAGTATTATAGACTGTTCAAGTAGTACAAGATTATTAATGAAAAAATTTCATTCCTATCATTAAATATTTTCATTGATTAGTATGTTCAAAATTGTCTTTATATACTTTATTAATGAAATCGGGATTCCGTCGTAAGAGAGTCTAACATTTAGAGTTCCATTAACGAATAAAATTTGGTTTGCATAATTTTGCGAATTTCGCCGTCCGGCTCAACGCATGCAATTCGTTTCGAGTCGTGAGCTTCGCCCCCTCCTTCACCTCAAGTAATATAAAATGCTTACTAGTTGGTAATATTAAGGAAACATACCATAAAATAATATTCTTTTTTTTATTTCATTTTATTTTATAACCGTCGTTGAACAGCCTAACCAATTTTTTGGGTTTACGACGACTAATGTTCGACTCTGTAGTCTTGTAATTTTGAACCCAATCCAGAAGACAAGGGAATCAAGTATTGGGAGAAATGTCCCTTCGTCGAGGACTTTTTGATGGAACTAACCTGCATTTACGTTACATGGAGAGGAAAACCTCCCACGGTTAGCCTGATGACAAGGGGACTCTAATCCGTGATCCGTTTACCTCTGAGGATGTTTTACGCCAGCACTGTGGTTGGAGCAAGCTGGATGGAAAATTCGTATCGACTAGCCATCGTTGGGATTCAAACCCGGTTCACCCCATTGGAAGGCGAACTCCTTATGCCCTGATCCACCACGGTTCTGCTTTACTTCTTTGAAATTTCGAGTTTCACGCTCAGTGGCAATACTTTTTATTTTATTTTACACGACAAGTATACACGCCATGCGCACTGCAATAAAGATTCGCACCCTTATGCTTCGTAATAGTATTGCGTCTTTATGCAAGTGATTAAGTTTGATTTAGAATAATTATTACAAACGATTTCGAATACAATGATGATGAGTTTCCATTTTTAAGATTCTCTTTATTAAATGTTTTAAGCTCTTGTGGTAATATATTTAAAATTGTTAAAATATGATAAAAAGTACTTTTTAATATTTGTTTTACATAATACTGTTTACAATTTCAAAATACTTTATCCATCAAAAACCTATGCGTTTACCCAGATCGGAAATTCTAAGTTTGTATCAAAAACTGAAATAAATTAATCAAGTATTAAATTAATTTTTTTATTTATTGATTATATGAAATTAATCAAATGTATGCAAATTTATTTTTATGAGTAATAAGTTAAAAAAACATAAATTAAAATCAATTGCTGATGAAGATGGTATCACAATTTTGGATTTTACTTTATTAATGGTAATAAAAAAAATAGAAATATNCCTGATGACAAGGGGACTCTAACCCGTGATCCGTTTACCTCTGAGGATGTTTTACGTCAGCACTGTGGTTGGAGCAAGCTGGATGGGAAATTCGTATCGATCAGCCATCGTTAGGATTCAAACCCGGTTCACCTCATTGGGAGGCGAACTCTTTATCACCTGATCCACCACGGTTCTGCTTTCATCATCATATCTGGCTAGACAGCCCAGGGTGGGCCAGTGCCTTCCTTTAAATTCGAATCCACTTCTCTCTACTTTTGACACTTGTTCGCCAGTTTTTCTCCTTTAGAGTAAGGAAATCAGTCTCAACTAAATCCAGCCATCTCAGCCTAGGTCTACCTCTTTTCCTGTTCGTTAGGGGTTTGTGTAACAGGATTTTTTTTAAATTTGAGTCATCATTCCTTCTGAAAATGTGAGCTGCCCAGTTCATTCGATGTATTTTAATGAATTTCACAATATCTGGCTCTCTGTAGATTTTATACAGTTCAACGGTTCTGCTTTACTTCCTTGAAATTTCGAGTTTCAAGCTCAGTGGCAATAGTTTTTATTTTATTTTACACGACAAGAATAAACACGCCATGCGCACTGCAATAAAGATTCGCACCCTTATGCTTCGTAATAGTATTGCGTCTTTATGCAAGTGATTAAGTTTGATTTAGAATAATTATTGCAAACGATTTCGAATGCAATGATGATGAGTTTCCATTTTTAAGATTCTCTTTATTATATGTTTTAAGCTTTTGTGGTAATATATTTAAAATTGTTAAAATATGATAAAAAGTACTTTTTAACATTTGTTTTACATAATACTGTTTACAATTTCAAAATACTTTATCCATCAAAAACCTATGCGTTTACCCAGATCGGAAATTCTAAGTTTGTATCAAAAACTGAAATAAATTAATCAAGTATTAAATTAATTTTTTTATTTATTGATTATATGAAATTAATCAAATGTATGCAAATTTATTTTTATGAGTAATAAGTTAAAAAAACATAAATTAAAATCAATTGCTGATGAAGATGGTATCACAATTTTGGATTTTACTTTATTAATGGTAATAAAAAAAATAGAAATATTTGCATCTCTTAATTAACTAGTATATCCTTGTTCAGTCAGCGTATTATTTACATGAAATTGCCAAGGAGTATTTGAACGAAATTTTTATCTTCTCATCCTATCCAATTTCTCTCCCCCCCCCCCTAAACTATCATGCTGTCACGTGACAAAAAACGTTCAAAATGTTTCATTTGAATCCGGCTTTTTTGGAATCAATCCAACGGAAACCAGATCGAATTTTATTTCAGTTGTTTAACGTCTGGTTAAGCAACTGAATTATGGCCCTTGAATTATGTTTTCGTTCTTAGATTTACCAAAAATATGTGTTTTTATTGATAAAACACATCTTTTTAGGCATTTAAAAGATGATGAGGTTTAGGAGGAGTAAAAAAATTGCACTTCACTAAAGAGATTTTTATCGAACAAGATAAAATATTTGTTCTAAGAACGTTTATTATCGAGAACAATAGGGAATCAATAGAAACTTTTTATTCATCTTTCCTTTATCATTTTTATCGTTACATGCGTTTTTATTAGACTCTATTCATATTATTTTTATAAAAAAAAAATTCCCACGTTTATCTAGTATTTAAAAAGACCAACGAAAAATCAGTCTGATATGGATTGTCAGTGTATATAGATTATATCAGAGGTTTATGAAGTGTAATCCGTGCAATTATTTCGACATGTATTTATGGATGGTGTTTTCAATATAAATGTAAACAACAACAAGCTCGAGCTCTTGATCTGCAGGTTAAAAAATATACAACTGCTTACTACAACTTATTCTGTGAGGCGATATTTTCAAACAGATAATTTTGTTTTTAATGAAGGAAATAAATTATATAATTTCTAAGCTAAAATCTGCTGTATTTCATTAGATATTAAATAATTCTGGAGAGTTTGAAGTGAAAATTTGTTTTAGTTATTTATAGGTGTATCGTTAAATTAAGGTGACATGGTTGCTAGATTTAAAAAAGAACTTGCTTTAAAAACAGTCCAGATTTGGCCTCGTTTTACTTCTTTATTGCTATTCGTTCCTGTTGCAATCATTGCACCATCATATGTTAGTGTTAGCATATCGTTCGAGCAGCGTAATTAAGCTTATTTTACAAACCATCATTTAGGTTTAAGTTTTGATGTCGGTGTATTGTTGATGAGGTAAGAAGTGCTTTATAACTATTAGGACTGGGCTATAAATCGATGTATCGCGACATATCGATTTAACGCCTATATCGGCAAGTCGATACAGCGACTTTCGTTCCAGGCGATGCATCAGATTTCTGATGCATCAGAAATCTTCGCATTAGTCGTCGACCAACAATTGAAATGTATTTTAAACATACATACATACATATATATATAAATAAATATATACGCCGAAGAACCATTACATTATGACCACCCTGCTAATAACATGTAGGACCACAAATGCTCTATTGGATTAAGGTCAGGTGAATTTGGGGGCCAAGACATGACTTGAAAGTCTCTGGAATGTTCCTCGAACCAATCCATGACGATTCGACCCTTATGACATAGTGCATTATAGTAAACACCATCCCCCTCCCCGCAGGAAAAACCATTGCCATGAATGGGTGAACCTGGTCAACAACTATGTTCAAGTAGCTTACAGACGTCAGAGAGTGTTCTATGTGGATTATGGGTCCTAATGAGCCCCATGAAAACATTGTTTCTGGGCGAGAAACCATGAAAACCTGGGTGAGCCCATTGTTATAGATGGAGGGTGGTCATAATNAAAAGATAGCTATTCTGATGCATAATCACAAAATTTTATAGAATTAACGATATTTATTTTCGATAAAATTGTAAAACTTAGTAAATGTTATATGGCATTTTAAAAGCATTTATATATATATATATATATATATCATAATAAATAAAAACAAAAAAACACAAGAACATTAAGAAGAAGAAAAAAAAACATTGTTTTGATCTTTTTTTCTGGTTTTTTGTTATTTTTATTATTATTTTTCTTTCCCCCCCTTTTTTCATTGTTCTGTAATTTTTCCCTTGTTATCATAAAAGAAAACCTATTTTTGGAAATGACAGATACACACACTTGATATTTTTAATTCTTTTTCCTTCCAGTCGAGAAGACGATGATGAAGAAAATGGCGAAAAAATGGATCCCTCCCTTTCTCCTGATTCAACTTGGATGAGGGAGAAACTTCCCCAAATTCTCAGCCTCATACAAAAAATTTTCTTTATCCTATTATTCATTTTATGCACGGTGAGTTTCTTCTTTTTAATCGTGATACCATTAATGTGCACATTACCTGACTAACCTCCAGATAAAACTCTGCCAGAGGGCGGAATCAAGAGTCTTCCACATTTGACTAAAATAATGAGCATATTAAAGGCTTCCGTATAGTTTAAATTCAAACTTCTCTGTCTTTTACTTTCTTGTAATAATATGGTAACTTAATTCTCATTAATTTAGTTATCATAACTCTCATTTAATTGTGATAATATTTAAAGCCGTTTAACTACTATTTGTATTTAATGAGATGCTTGCAAGTGACGTATAGTGCGGCTTTCAGGAGAACTCCTCCAGACATCAGTCTCGCGTTATAGCGGGTACCATAGTTACGTGGGAAAGTCACTTCGAATAGCTGTGTGGGGTGAATAGTTTTGTCTTAATGTAATCTTGGCATAGGTCGGAGTGAGAAAACCAATCCGCACCTTCATTCTTAGATTGCACCCCCATTAGAAATGTGCTCTCACTTGTTACCATAGCAGCAGACAGTTCCATACTTTGAGTCCAGTGGAGTGTTCCTCAAAGCAGCACTATAGTGTGAGCATATCGATCCTGAATGGTTGTTGAAACGTGGTATTTGTTTACTTCAGTAACTGTACTTTCCATTTCTAGTCAGCTAAGTCCGTCAAGTATCAATTCTCTTAATTTGACACATTCTATATTCTTTTACAAAGATTTCAATTCTTTCATTATATATTTCTTACTTAACACAAAGACGGGCACGAAGCCATGTAGAACATAAACAAACTAATTATTCATCGCAGTTGTTGGTTACAAAAAACAAAAATTCATCATGGTTACAATAAAATACATAAAGAAATAATAAATTTAAGTTAAGTAAAAGTTGTAGACGAGAAAGAATAATATTTCAACAAGAACGATCTGGTTTACTGCATTGTATATAAATAACTCCACCATGCTATTATAATAAGCCAAATAAATTGGTATTTTTTTTGATAAAATATTAGTTTATTGTCGAGTTATTTATAATAGACGTTTTTGCAAATGAACTAAAGAAAATAGTATACAACTAGGAGACTTCGCCCCCTGCTCGCTGGCCCTCGCCAACCCTCGGAACTGCTTTCGCAATTCATTTCGGATTGCTTTGCAATCCGATGCTCGCTTTACCAACACCTCCTAGAAAAGAGTAGGCCTCTGCACGGGTTATCATAAATATCCTTTAGTAGTCCAAACGTAATGACATATTTCGTATTTTCAACCACTGCGCAGCTTAGTACCCCGAAAGTAATGACATCTTTCTTATTTTTCATCAACTGCGCAGTTAACTTCGTCACATCGGACTACTAAATTGATCCGTGCTGAGGCCTTCCTTCTTCTAGGAGGTATTGGCTTTACTCGCTCATTGGATACGTTCTTAACGTCTAGCTTTTGTATACTTTTTTGAACACTGAAGTTCCGAAAACTTTTCACTGTAGAAAATTCTAAACCTGTCCATTTCAATATTAATTTGAAATCGCAAACATATTTTTCTTAATCACACTATACTAAATTTCAGTTGTTGAGAAAAGTAACTTTTGTAAGTTTTGTTTTAAAGTCTTTCCCACCAAAGGGCTAAAACTATGTGTTGTAAAACAATATGAAATAGTACTGAACGCCGGATGTAAAGCATCGGCTTCGATGTAGATAATTTTGTGAGAATTTTTTTTAAAATTCGGTGAGAATTCACCCGATTAGACATATGCTCACTACGTGCTCTTGCGCGCCGAAGCCTATCAATTAAAACGTATTAGCGTTTTATATAATATAGTTTAGCCATATGACGTGCTCTTGCGCGCCGAAGACCATCAATTAAAAATGAAAACTGTTGCCAACGCGAGAAAAGAAATATCATCGGTTTTATTGATACATACGTATTAGCGTTTTATACTTGTATAATATAGATAGATAGATATATTATGTATTATATTCTTTTCCTGGACTTTGGGATACGGAGAGAGCAATTTCAGACTTTTGTCTCGCTCTCTCGATAGAAGAGGTTTTGCTTTTATAACTTCCGGAGCTGGTACCCCCTGAAGACGTCAGCCTTGGTTGTCATATTTATCCATTTAATTTCATATTTTCATTGTCTCTTTTGTTTAAATTCCTTTTGGATTCACTGCTGCTAAGCCCGTTTTTCCATTGGAAGTATTATTATTTTTAATTGCTTTTAAATTTCTTTTCTTACAAAATGTAAGTTGTTACAATTAGGGTTCAAAAAATGTATTTATTGAGAATGTGTGGTTACCGGGCACTGTTTATTATTCATTATGTTTTCAGGTATCTTTGAGCTTTGTTGATGTAGAGAATGGAGAATGGAACTCGACTTTTATTTCAAGAGGGCGGACTAACAGTATCCTTTTTTTTTATTGTACTTCACTCAAGTCTGACACAATATTCAAAACGAGCTTAAAAATTTAAAGTTTAGAACAATAATTATCATTATTTTTATAGTAAAATGTACAATAGTTATGATACCATATATTTTTCAATTACAATAATAAATAGTTATTATTAATTTACATACTTCAAAAGCACCTTAGCTAAAAAAAAAAAATAAATAAATAAAAAAAAAAAAAAAAAAAAAAAAAAAAAAAAAAAAAGCAAAGAAAGAAATTTAAAATATTTACAACCACCAACAAATAAATATTTATAACCGGCGTTGGACAGCCGACCCGATTTCGGGTTTACGATTACTAATGTTCAACTCCGTAGCCTTGTGATTTTGAAACCAATCCAGAAGACAAGGGAACTCCTGGGTCAAGTATTGGGAGAAATTCGACTTCGTGGAGGATTTATTGGCGGAACTAACCCTTATTTGCATAACATGGAGAGGGACACCACAGTTAGCCTGAGGGCGTGGGGACTCTAGCCCATGATCCGTCTACCACTGAGGATATTTTACTTCAGCTCTGTCGTCGGTGCGAGCTGAGTGCGGAATTAGTATCGACCAGCCAATGCTGGAATTCGAACCCTGTTCACCTCATTTGAAGGCCAACCCTGACTGGTCCTCGTTAAATTGTTCTATCGTAAAGTGCTCGACTTCGCGTGCAGGTCGTCGGGCTACCGAAGCGGGGGGTGCTATTCCCTCTGCAGAGGATCAAAATTGTGATGGCATGTTTTCGGTTCATCCTCAGGGATGTTTCCCAGACCGTCGCCAGCCCAAGTGCGACGTAAATTAACAACAACAACAAAGTGGTGACTATTGATGGTGCCTAACTGGAGACATCAGAGTGCGAAGGGTTAACTTAAATAGAGTAATCATTTACATAATTTTTACACAACAGTTATTACCGTAAAGAGAGCTAAAAGAAAAAACCAATAATTTTATTTTTGTTAGATCTAAAATGAAAAGCGTCGTATATACAGTCCCTAGCCAAATTATTAGACGTACTATAAAGATTCTATGTAAAATCTTAATTATCAGGTGATACTCTATACAGCTTTACTGTTTTTCGTGGCTGAAACCAGTTTGCACTTGTTTACATTTGTGTATCAATCGCAAGCATTGCGATGCAATACCTTAAAAATAAATACAAATAGGAAGTACAGTGAATTCGCGATAACTCGAATCTGATAGGACTCACGAAAAACTTCGACGTATCGGAAGTTCGACTTAACGTTAGTTTCGGTTTTGGACTTTCAAAATATTGTCGGATTATTTAATTAATGCTTATTAATTACAAATCTTCTAAATGCTCACAATATTTAAGATCATTTTTCTGACAAGCCATTTACGATAAGACTGTTTGAAGCACTTTATGATACCCTGGTCTATCGACTGCAACTTTGCTGTTGTGTTTGGCGGGAGAAACTGCAAGTTTACTGCTTTCAAATTAGGTAGATCATTATGCGCTGTGCTTTTATCCATAAAGAGTATCACTTTTCTTTTCTTAGCGAAGAATTTCCCATCCAATTTTCTTAAGTCTTCAAGTAAAACTGATGTCATCCAAAACTTTTTGTTAGACTTGTAATCCAAAGGATACCTTTTTACATTCTTGAAACATCGGGGATTTCGGTATTTTCCGATAACAAGTAAAGGCAATTTCTTTGTCCCCGACGCTTTTCCTTCAACTAGGACAGTCAAACGTTCCTTGCTCATTCAAGACATTTAAAAAATAAACCTATTTCATCAATGTTGAAAACATAATTTTAACTGTATCCTTGAAGTAAATTTGGTAACGTTTCATTTAACCACTTTTCACATACTTCAAGAGGGACAGCTTTAGCTTCTCTATGAAGAGTGCGAAAGACATCGTGTGTGTTTTGCAAAGGAAGGGGCAAGATATCAGCTCCTAGGTTTTTTTTCTTGCTTTAAAAGATTAAAAAAAATCGAGTTAAAGGGAGTAAAATTCGAGTAATCGAGAATAATTAACATGAAATTGAAGATAAAAGGGTCGGGACCTCATGAAAATATCGAGTTATAGTAATATTCGAGTTATCGTACTTCGAGTTATAGCGAATTGACTGTATATAAAAAATTTCCTGAATAAAAACCCATTACAGGTATATTTAAATATAAAAGTATTGCATATAAACTCGTGCAAGACATGTCAATATAAAAAAACGAAAGTACGTCTAATAATTTGGTCTAATTATTATAATATACTATTATAATATACTATTATAATATAGGATATGATAAATATTCTAGGTTTATATAATATATCGTCGAATTCATCCAATCGTCGAATTTATATTACATATCGTCTGATTTAACGAACTGATACACTAACGTAAACAAGTGCAAACCGGATTCAGTAGCGTAAAAAAAAAATAAAACTNAATAAACTAAAAAAACTAAATATTATTTAGTTTATTTAGTTTATTTGGTTTTTAAGTGTTTTTTTAAGTATTTTTTGTGTGTTTTTTTTAGTGTTCTTTTTAGTGTTTTTTTAAGTGTTTTTTTTAGTGTTTTATTTAGTGTTTTTTTCTGTTTTTTTTTGTTTTTTTAAGTTTTTTTTTAGTTTTTTTTTAGTTTTTTTTAATTTTATAACCGTCACAGAGCAGCCGACCCAATTTAATGGGTTTACGACTGCTAATGTTCAACTCCGTTGCCTTGTAATTTTGATCTCAATCTAGAAGACAAGGGAACTCCTGGATCGAGTATTGGGAGAAATTTTGCTTTCGTGGAGGACTTCTTGTTGGAGCTAACCCACACTTGCGTTACATGGAGAGGAAGACCACGAAAACCTCCCACGGTTAGCCTGACGGCAAGGGGACTCTAACCCACGATCCGTCTACCACTGGGAACATTTCACGTCAGTACTGTGTTCGGTGCAAGCCGGATACGGAATTTGTATCAACTAGGATTTGAACCTGGTTCGCCTCATTGAAAGGCGAACGCTCTATCCCCTGAGCCATCGCGGCTCAGCAATTTATATTGCATCCGGGAAAAAAAATATGATTTTATAGCAAAAACTGTTGGTGAGGCACTCATTTAAGAGGTTGCAGCGATACTTTTTTGTATGCCAACAAAATAAAAAATAAGTAAAACACACATACACACAGTTGGAGTACTTTTGGTAAAGTTTTGATTAACTGGATGTAAAGTTTTACGGTTCCCAGCAGATCACCGAAGTCAAGCTTCACTGGCTACGATGAGTGTGTGGGTGGGTGACCACTTGGATCAGCCTGCGTAGGGACCGAGGGTGTGCGGTATTGGTCCTCGTTAAACTGTTCTACCGTAAAGTGCTCGACTTCGCGTGCAGGTCGTTGGGCTACCGAAGCGGGGGTGCCATCCCCTCTGCAGAGGATCAAAATTGTGATGGCATGTCTTCGGATCATCCTCAGGGATGTTTCCCAGACCGTCGCCAATGGCCCATTGTGTAGCTCTAGTGCAACGTAAGTGAACAAGAGCAAGAGAGGGGATGTAAAGTAACTGTTCTTCTATGTTGTAAAAAAGAGGAAAGAAAATTATTTATAAATCAGAATTGATTGATCAACTCTACAAAATCATGTATAAAACTAAAAGACTTATCGATACAATTGATAAAACAGAATTAATTCCACATCTTTTTTAATGTATGCAATATAATTTGTTGCACTTCCCGGTGACTTTACGTTCTTAGATTAAGCAAAACAAGTTATTGGATTAGAGATTAACTGTATATTTAGTATCATTTGGCATGACGCTATTGCTATAGGCCAACTCATGATACTCAAAATTTACCATACTCGAGCAATTTTCTTTGTCACAGTTTGTTACAATTACAATTTTTTCTATGCAATTTTCTCTTCTTCCTTTTAACAGGTCCGTATAAAGTATATTATCACAATACCGATATTAAATACCTTATATTTGGTATACATTAAAACAACAGATGTTACTACAGTACCAGCAACATCAATTGTACTAATTATCAAAGTTATTTTGCATTATTGGCATCAATAATAATATGGTACTATTTTACGGCCGACCGAAACGAATCAGTGCCTTTCAATCATTAATTTTGTTTTTTACTCAATTTAAAAAAAAAAAAAATTCAACTGTCGATTTTAAATCATGTAGTTTTATATAAGCATTCAAAAGCGCAGGTATAAACAAAATAAATGTATGGTTTGAGAACATTTTAGGAATACTAATTCGGTGACGTAGTCCCTATCTACGCTTATTATTGATCTTTCCTGACATGACGAATAAAAATGAGTAAATATCAAAGACTTCTGCAAGCAACTTATTTTTTTTGTTTGTATAACAGTAAGTTAGCAAACATGACTGACTATAGGGTTAACATACTGGTTCATAGGGCGGGCTGCATTCACACAGAAGAAAGGACACAGAACGCAGATAGAGAGAACGTTACATTCAGGCCTACGTTGGGATTCGAACCCACAACCATTGGCCATGTAGTCCAGTACAGTAACCACTAGACCAGTGATCGGCTTCACACGCTACTTTAAGTTACCTTAAATTACTTTTTACTCGGTAACAAAATCGTGTGAATCAAAAGTTACCTCTCTTAAAATATCATCTAAAAATAAATAAATACGAAGCTGACTGGTCCTTTTATTATTATTTTTTTCAGAAGATATCTCATGGTTGGACTGTTTTTTTGAATCCAGATAGTCAGTCAGATGAAGAAGACATTTTAGAGCATGATTTTTATTTAGCTGATGATGAAATTTCCCAAAAGTATGATTTTATTTATCGACATATTCATTCATTGATTGGTCTAGTTTGTTTTTAATTGATTCGTTTCACATGAAGATTTTGCTATAAGTTTTAGAACACGAACGTATATGCACATATATTGAACTGAGTTTGCATGTAAACGAGGTGCTTTCTTTTTCAAGTCAGTTTTTAGTGTTTTTTTTTAATTATTGAGTTACAAATTAATTTTAAGATAACTTTACTTTAAAAAAAAAAAACTCATTTTATGTAAGTTAAAAAGGAATTTGATCAGACTGAACAACATTTAGAAAATTATTTAACCAGCTCAGCTTGCTGAGAGAATGCCGTTTCTGTCAAGAATTTTCATAAAGCTTTAGCATTTATCCTGTGGAAATTTTCATTACAATTTTCAATCTTATCTAAAACACCTAAAATTAACTGGAAGTAACTTAATTTTTTCATGATTTCGCATTGAAAATCTGGAGACAAAAGCTTTTGGAATTTCTTTTAAGTTTAAAAATCATCGATTCGTTCATCTCAGTGGAAGGTGCACGCTCTCTTCCCTGAGCCACCAAGTTTCACCAACGCACTACTTTTTTTTTTAATAACCGTCGTTGAACAGCCAACCCAATTTTCCGTTTACGACTACTAATGTTCAACTCCGTAACCTTGTAATTTTGTACCCAATCCAGAAGACAAGGGAACTGCTATATCAAGTATGGGAAGAAATTTGCCTTCGTGGATAGAATTGACCCGCATTTGCGTTACCTGGGGAGGAAGACCACGAGAACCTCCCACGGTTATCCTGACGGCAAGGGGACTCTAACCCATGATCCGTCCACCACTGAGGATATTCGACTAGCCATCGCTGGGATTCGATTCTGGCTCCATTTATTTTACTTTCTGCGAACAATCATTTAAAATATCAATTGACACCGATCCCTGCTTACTTCTATCACCAACCCCCAGAATTGTTAAACTTTCATTGCTTTTCTTCCCCTTTAGAAGTTGGTATTTTCCACCAAAACAAATAACATTTTGTTCGTAAAATATACAATTACTATGCAGCTCTAGTATTCTACTACTACTACTACTACTACTCGTAATTTGTAGTTTTTGCACAGCAACATAACGTGAAATTGAACACCCAAAACAGCGTCGGCTTTTTTTTCAATACAATTCAGTTCATTTCAATATAATTCAATTATTTAATTTTTCAATATAGAGAGAAAATATATCGAAGTAGGACCAAAATATAAATGCTCAGAACAGAAAGATTTAGCGGCATTGACACGTAAAATTATTTCGATTGTTTTTCGAATTATATTTAAAATTATTGAAGCTTTTATTTTCAATGAAGCATATATATATATATTGTTGTTGTTGTTGTTGTTATAGCATGACGTATCAGCTTTCGGTCAATACCAATGTCAGGTATGCTCCCTTCAGCATTGACTTATCTGTGAAATCAAAGGTGTCTATGCAGAAGGTCATCCTAGCCATATGTCTACTCATCGCATTTCATGTGTTAGTCTTGTTTAAGGTTAGTCATCGATATCTTATAAAAGGATCATAATTTTTTATTTAGTTTTATGTTACTGTCAGTCAGGTAAATCTTAGTTTGTACCGGTAAAGCTTTGGATTTACCAAAGTGGCTTGGTAAGTTCTAGGTTTTAACGAAAAGGCTTGCTAAAGGAGCAAAATTGAATCATATTAAAGAATCCTTCGGACTTTTGCCTAGCCATTTCGGTAAAAGTTAGGTTTTACTAGTAAAACTTGAAATTTACTAGACGGTGGGATTTTGAAATTACATAAACATTATGACCAATACTACTGCAGGAGATGCTCTAAGCTTTTCCTGGTGGTTGAAGACATGCATGGAATAGTGCACACATATGGGTATCGTGCTGGCCAAATGTTGAACTGATTGATATATAGCATACGTGGAACTATACTATATGATGCGGAAAAGTAGCAAAGCCAGAAAGTTTTCTCTGTTTGTAGTTTTAATATACATAAACATGACAATTTAAAATAAGAACATTTTTAAACTGTTAATTTCTTCTTAATGTAATTCTTGAACAATTCTTACAAATTTACTTAAAAAAAGGTAGATAACGTGGTAAGGTAGCTAAAAAACGTGCCCAGGGTAAAAATATAACAATATGACATAAGTATAATTTTTTTTTCTTTTACTAGTGTGGCTAGTTTTTACTAGTTTAACTTGTAACTTTCAATTTATTTACATTATAATGTCAACTGTCAAGTATTTTGAAATATGAAATATATTTAATATGAGTTGTTTAAATTTCAAAAAAAAATGTGATGGTCTCAAATAAAATTGATAAATAGTGCCTTTTGAAGTAAATAATGAATCTTACAAATATGTTTTTTTTTAAATTTAGTTAATAATTACCATTTAGTAACATCTGAGGCAAAAATGTTTTCATGGAATCACCAATAATTTAAAAATTTGTTTAGAATAATGAAAATAAAATTGATTGTTATTTTTATCTTCTTTAAGTCCGTAATTATTATTAATTTTAAAATTTATTAATTTTAAAATAGTTTTTTTTCTTTTTAAATGTCTTAAAATATATCTATGATGTTTAAGAAAAAAGTATGATAAATCATTCTCTCCGCAGATTCTCCCTCAGACGTTGGCTGCTATGGTAACAGCTATAACTGCCATTGCTGTCTTGACTATTGTGGATCAGGTGAGAACGTTGAATCATTAATGTTAAGTAAGATGATTCTTGACTTGTAAGATGACTTGTTCTTAACTTTGGAATCAATAAGGTGCTCCTTAACTGTCTCCGTATGGTTAAAGTTCAAAAGTTTGTTTCCCTCATTTAACTAATGCGTCGATTGTTTGATAGCAGACCTTTTGATTTCTTTGGTAGCGAAAAATAAATTAATTACATTATGTTAATTAAAGCACACAGAAGCGTTTTGTCAACCTGCGAGCAAAGATCTTAATTTTACTTTAAGGATGATCTAGTAATAGGCCGATTATCTAGGCAATTGACAAATTACCTAAGTAATTTTGAGAATTTTTTTTGGCACTTTAATCAATCACCCTTGTTATTCTTCACGACACCTAGATAATTCTACGTTGAACAGCAGACCCAAATTTTGTATCTTCGACTTCTAATGTTCAACTCTGTAACCTTATAATTTTGAACCCAGTCCTGAAGACAAGGGAACACCTAGATCAAGTAGACGGATTTTGTGACGCACAAGGCTAGAGGGATAAGTCTCCAGTATTTTCTAATTAGTGATATTTTTCAAGCTCATTATAATCAGGTTATATGCCTTTAGAGCAAAATCATTAAAGACTTAAGATGGGAGAATTCAATGTACTTATTTTAGACTATATTTTACACAATTTTATTACATTTGAACCTTTTTACCAGTATTTGTGTTACCGCTGAAGCTCGAAAGCCGTGAATGAATACATAACCTCGTTGGTCTGCGGATTAACTAGTGTAAACAAAGTGTGGAATCAGGAATTTTCTACACTTTACCTAGATTATGTGTGCACATTAAAATGTTTTTAAAATATTTAAAGTTCAAAAGTTTGCTTTTTATTTCCCTTTCCTACGTCTTCCCTATTTCGTTTAATTTTTAATTTGGTTTTGTCGTGTCATACAATTTGTCAACAATTTGCGACGGTGGATTCATAATTTGAATTTTTTGATCTAAAAAATAATTAAGAAGTAGCATTATGTTAATGTCATTACACTTTAAACCTTTTGATTCCTTGCGTTTCAATTTTTTAATTGATTTATGATTAATTCTATCAAACATTTATCGTTTCATATTAGCTTGATTTTCTAGATATCAGTCAAAATATTAAGTTAATTTACGCATTTAGAACCGTTGCCGTTGTTTAAGCATAGATTATATTTTCACTTTAGCAAGTAAATAGTAGATAAAGTGCAGAAAAACATATTAAATCGAAGACTACATGCGTAATTTTCAGATAAACTAGGAAATAAAACTATATTCGGTCCTTTAACGGATCACCTAGTACATGCTCAAATTACCTAGATAATCCCTAGAACAACTGATTTCTGCACTTAACCCTTTTCTTACTGTGTACCGTGCTCTAAAATCACAGGTGGTCCTTATGTCGTACCTGCCGTAAGGAAGAGGTTAAGTAGTAGTATGTATACAATAAAAGTCGATTTCAGAATTTAAAATTATCAACTAAGACTATTTCTTCCAGAGACCATCTGTGCATGAAGTTGTTGGTTGGACCAATTTGGAAACTTTGAGCCTTATCTTTGGAATTTTATTCATAACATCCATGCTTTGTGATACAGGACTATTTGAACTTATAGCAGTCATGGTGAGTTAAACTTCAAATACATTAATGTCTAATGCCGGCAAATAAAAGTGCGGGAAATAAAATCACTTATTCATGAAGCCTATTTATTAATCAAAAGATAAGGAACAAAAAAGATGGTATATGTACGATACCATTCATAGATACTGTACTTGTAAAAGCTTTTTGCTCCATGGAGCAATTACAAAAAAAATATTTCTTTTACAAAAAATTAATATAACATGGGTGAAATGATGGTTAATACATTGTATGTCAATCATGCGATGGATGCTGATTATCAAATTATCCGTCTGATCTTGGGGAAGATTAACTCCCCTCAGCAAACAACGCTCTTTGAAGTTCTGGTACATATGGTTTGTCTAAAGTAAGAACTCTCCTAACCATTCGTCTGGACCCGTGGAAGTAACTATGGTAACGAGGTATAACTATTTCAAGTAGGGGTGTGGGGTCACTGTTTAGGCAGGTTTTAGCTCGGGTCGGCGTGAGAAAGGGAATATATATATATATACGNAAATCAAGAGAATGCAACGCTTTTTTACACGTTTTATTAATAATAAAATCATTTTGTTTTCAAACAAGTTTCATTATTACTATGATATAATCATGCATTTTGTATCCAATACATACTGTCAGACACAAACTTTCAGCCCATCTTATAAATTGCCTCAGGAACTTTCTATGTTCTTGCATGCAAACTCTCATTGAGATTACTTCTAAATGAATAACAGTTAAAATATATATATATATATATATATATATATTAGCTGAATAACTGTTCCTCGCACTAAATTCGCGAATAAAAAAAATTTAAAAAATCAATAAATCAGATGAGTGAGGTACTCTACGAAATCATACTAAAACTGAAAGGCATATACCTTCACAATTGAAGAGTTTAGTGGAAGAACAATGTAAATAACATTTTTAGGGGAGTTAATAATTCAGAGAAAATGGCATAAAGTGGTTGTATCAATATGGGTAGGTTTAATGTAACGTAATTTTTTTTTGCTTTCACTTTAATCTTAACTAATCCACATTTGTTTTTAATAAGCTTGCAAGATTTTTGTTTTAAATTAGGCAGTGGTAATGCATATAAGTATGTTAAGTATGCATGTCGAAAACATAGCTTCGTCGATATTTTTGAAAATCTACTACTTTTCAGATTTATAAATGTACCGGAGGACATACGTGGTTTCTGCTGACATCTCTCTTTCTGTCGACTTTCCTACTATCGGCCCTTCTAGACCCTTTCACAACACTTATTTTGATGACAGCTGTAGCCATTAGGTACTGATCAAGCTTTTATTTAGAATATCTTTCTTAAGAATGAAATTATATCGTTGTTAAAAAAAATTCCTTAAAACAAGCGCCGTTTCAGGCAATTTGTGCTAATCAATGGCAATTAGTATTAATCAATGGCAATTGGTACTAGTCAATGAAACAATTTATATATATATATATTTCCAGGTTGTGTGAAGCTATGAATATAGATCCAAAACACATTCTCATTGCATTAGTGATATTTTCCAATACGGGAAGCATTCTGTGCTACTCAACTTTTAAGAAGTATCAAACTACAGTAAGTCTCTGTTTTGACATATAAGTTAAGAAATCTTATCAAAATGAAAATTTTTGTAGAAATTGTAAGAAAATCCACGAAATAATGATTATTTTTTTTATATAAATCTATATTATATTAAACGCTAATACGTATGTATCAATAAAACTGATGATATTTCTTTTCTCGCGTTGGCAACAGTTTTTTTTCTTAATTGATGGGCTTCGGCGCGCAAGAGCACGTAGTGAGCATATCATATGTCTAATCGGGTGAATTCTCACAGAATTATCAAAAAAATTCTCACAAAATTATCTTCATCGAAGCCGATGCTTTACATCCGGCGTTCAGTACTATTTCATATTGTTTTACAACACATAGTTTTAGCCCTCTGGTGGGAAAGACTTTAAAACAAAACTTACAAAAGTTACATTTTTCAGCAACTGAAATTTAGAATAGTGTGATTAAGAAAAATATGTGAACTGTTTGCAATTTCAAATTAATATTGAAATGCACAGGTTTAGAATTTTCTACAGTGAAAAGTTTTCGGAACTTCAGTGTTCAAAAAAGTATACAAAAGCTAGACGTTAAGAACGTATCCAATGAGCGAGCAAAGCGAGCATCGGATTGCGAAGCAATCCGAAATGAACTGCGAAAGCATTTCCGGGGGTTGGCGAGCGTCAGCGAGCAGGGGGCGAAGCCTCCTAGTTTTATTTTAAAAGCTTTCGAGATAATATATCTTAAATAGATTTAATGTGAATATGTTAGTATATAATATGAGCTGACTTGAGTTATTATTATATAACCATTCAACCGAAAGCGAAGCATAACATTTGAATGATGAAACAATGAGGAATAAGGTTTTCCCGCCGATCAGTTGGGCATTTGCATGAGACAACTCTTCACCACGACAGTCCGCCCAAGAGGACTGCTGACCGACACACGGCGCACATGCCCGATCCACCAAGTCGACCGGAGCACCACCCGTGGCATTTATTAAAAACAGAATACAATTACAAAACATGATGCAACAGCAGTATTTACATTAAGTTGATATAGGATTGTAGACCCTAGCAGCGTCCATCTTATATGGCTGAAGCCGATGGAACGCTGCTTTATAGTGGGCAAGAGATTTGAAAAAATAAAATCTTTACAGATGTGTTACCAACTGTTGTGCAGGCAACAGTACAACAAACAGGCAAAACCACAGAGCTAAATGATGAAACTATAACTTCCATTAAAATAATCTTTTGCATAGAAATCATTGGTATTCAGAATTTTTTGTGTTTTAACACTCTTAATATGCAGGATGTTTCGTAATGGTCACTCTTAATATATATTTCTAGTAATACTTTTGTCAGAAGCAATATCCGTAATCGGGGTTGCTAACTTGCATTTGAAATACCAGGAAAAAAGAATGCATTATTTTACCACCCTAGGTACAATTCGAACGAATTATTTCATATCTTGTATTTATCTATTAAATGTTACATGAAGTGTTAAAATTAAGTATCACTACTATTTTTTTTTTGCTCACTTTCTTCCCTATAACGATCGCCCTTTATATTTGCGACCATTATTCAATGTCTGTTTTATCATATTCTATCCCTTAAAGCTCATACCATTACTTATGAGACTCTTTCGATATTTTTTTAAAATTTCTCTTTTTAGATTCGGCATAAATTTGCAATTGATATTATCAACGTGCTGGGTCTTACAAAATAATCTAATACTGTCTGGCAATCACGAAATAATCTTGTGAAAAGGTTGAAAGGGCTGTTCATTTCGCTTCTGATAGGTAGGTACTTTATTTACAAAGCACTAGAGTTGAACAATGGGCTATTGGCGACGGCCTGGAAAAAAATCCCCGAGGATGATCCGAAGACATGCCATCACAATTTTGATCCTCTGCGTAGGAGATGGCACCCCCGCTTAGGTAGCCCGAAGACATACGCGCGAAGTCTACCACTTTATGGTGGAACAGTTTAACGAGTACCGATGCCGCGCATCCTCGGTCCCTACGCAAGCTGATCAGAGTGGTCACCCATCCGCTTACTGACAGCAATCAGTGATGCTTGACTTCGGTGTTCTACTGGGAACTGTGTCTTAACGATCATTCCACTGTGGGGCCATTTCGCGGTTGATTGGCGTCACTCAGTTCAAACCAACCAGAAACCAGCGGAAACTAATTTTTTTGTTCCAAACATTATCTTCACCTAAAAATAAATAATCTACCGCGAACGCCACCATCGAGTATAGAACCGATTTTTGCCAGACAGTATGATACACTTTTTCATAGTGCCTCACATTATTTTGAATAAGCCCCCCATTGATCTTTCCGTAGAAGATTGAATACGGCCAATATGCTCTTCATGTGTTTCCTGCGGTTCTTCTGACCTTTTTAGCTGCTTATGCTTTGTGGAGATTAAAGTACAGAGACGTCTCCTGGTTGAGATTCAAGAAGCCGCTGGAAGTTGAAGGTAAGGACATCTAGACATTTAAGAACATCTTTTTCTGAAAGTATATGGATGGTGATTTCAATAAAGGGGTGACGCGATGGGAGGGGCGAAATTTCCATTTAACCGGATGAAATTTCGAATTTGATCGAATCATTAATAAGCATGTAATTCATTTCAGCTTCAATTAAAATTTAAAAAAATTTAGCTAATAATTTCACAATATGTAAATTTTTTCCACTAATATACTATCGATTTAACTACTTTATACTTAATTATTCGAGTCAATGAGCTGTGATTGGTCAATAGGTAAGGCAATTATCATCAGCATTGGCACGACAGCCCTTTGTGGGCCTGGGCCTTCCTCAGAAGCTTTTCCCATTCTGCCCTTCTCCCAGCAATTGTTTTCCAGTTCTTAACTTTTAGGATGGCAAAACCGTTGTGAAAAACCGGGTTTCGATCCCCAGTAGTGGCTTGAAGCCCACCCAGCTTCAGATCAACGGGTACCAGTTTGTCCAGGAAGTAAGGGCTTTAATAAAATTGAATTTTTTATTTTATTTCTAGCAGCAGCACTTGATGTGTACATCTTTCGCTAGAGCGCAAAAACACTCTTCACAGATCCACACGGAATAACAACAAATTAAGAAAAAAATTAAAAACATTAAAACATTCGAAATACAAAAACAATTAGAACAAAGAAACATTAAATAGAATATCAACAAAAGAAATATAAACAGAAGATCAGCCAGTTCAGTGCCTGCAACTGCTCCCTAGCATTCCAGTATCTGTCGTAGATGTTGCCAGCAACTGTGGGGCAGACCCACAGATCATTCATTGGGGAGTCCTCCCCGCACAAAACACTAAATTTATACTAAATAGAAACTTAAACAAAGTAAGACGCGTCGTTCGTAATTTCATTTGTGTTCTCAAAATAAAATAAGAGAAAATGAATTTTCAAAAATATACCGAGTGAGTAAACAAAATTTGCCGAGTAGTGAAAATATTTGGGAGGTCACATTGACCTCCCATTCCGGTGACCCTGGAAGAAAGTATGAATAAAATTAGCCCGGAAACACATCAAGCAGAGTTCTGGTTAGAAAGTCAACACTAGCTCTTTGTTGCCAATCTTACGAGGTGATATTTTCGAATATGTTTTTATTTATTCCTTTTATTTCATCGAAACATAGAAATGAATAAGAAGGGAAAAATATACTTGAAGGTACCCCTTGGCAAAATTGGCGACTTATGTATGGCGCTATTCCTGTTTGCGCGGAACACAGTGGCAATAGGAATGGCGGCCATAACATAATGATATTTCAATAAAACATTGGAAAATTTCAACAAAACATCGGATAAAGCTTGCAATGAACCCAATATAAGCAAAATTAATAAATCCAATAAAAAGGATTTTGAATCGAAGCAAAAATTAATGGAGTAGGCGCAGAAAGAAAAGGAAAAAAACAACTCACTTCTTCATTAAGCTTGGATATTCTCAGATTTAGGTGCACAGAATTATCTAATAACAGTTAGATACTGTCTAAATTTATCATGAATAGAATCTGTGTACCTCCATCGCCACATAAATTCGACAAAATACGAATCGAAAATGGCGTCTGTAATACCGGACTATCGGTGACATTTTTTTCCGGTAATCCCTTTTTATGACTGCCCTCATACCTTCGATCTTATAGACCAGATTCAAAAGTAACCTTACCAGTCGGTATCCAACGTACAACTAACGGACCTCCGAAATTACATATACCGTTGAACATTTAAAAATAACGCTAAAATCTAAACCAATCAGAATCACGATTGGGCTTCAACATCGCCCAGCTTGGCGATCAACCGCCATCACAACTTGACGAGAATCAAGGGGCACCCTCAAATATAGTCTACCCGAATAAGAATATCAACAATTTTTTTTTTACCATTTAAAAGATTTTTATTCTAACTTTTGATCCAGTTAAATATTTAGGCAATATCGATTAGAATAATTTAAATTTTGATTTTTGAAAGAAGAGACAGGTTTGCTTCATTTTTAAAGAAATCGCATGTTTGGGTAAACCTTGATTGGGCTATATTTTTGTTTCTGGATTGTTTTGTTCCACCGCTCATGCCTTAGCTAGGTGACTCTTTTCTCGCATGGGTTCTTTTAACGTGATAATTTTGTGAGCATACTTAAAATTAGAAGAAAGCTTATTGCAAGGTTTCATTACTTACTATGTTCTTTTACATTAACAAAAATATTTTTTTTCACAATGAATTAATATTCTCTATAATACTGATATCTTTGCAAATTTCAATTCACGAATATAGATCAATCGCCACTTGAATGAAACAAATACTAGCTTAAATAATTGATAACAGTCGATAAGTGAGCATACACAATAACCGAGGATAGAATAGCCATAAATTTCTGTCAATGGAAAGAGTATAGTTTAGCTAACCTAAGAACTCCCCCCGTCACAAAGTCTGAAGTCGTCTGCTGCTGTGGAAACAAGTTAAGCGCATTTCAGGGAGGGTAGCTTTTCTTCACTCTAGGGCTAATACAATATACAGAAGAAAAAGATTCCCTTTCTTTCGCCGTCACCCGACCTGAAACCTGTTCTTAACAGCGACCCCACACCTCTACTTGAAATAGTTGTACCTCGTTACCATTGTCACCGCCACGGGTCCAGACGAATGGCTAGGGGAGTTCTTACTTTAGACAAACTACACTGTGCCCACTGATGTATAAATCATCATCCATAGACTGGAACTCATGTATTGTGAGGTTTTGAGGAGACCTCCTCCAAACTAACAGTCTCGGGCTGTCTGCTGCTATGGTTACACGTGAGAGCACATTTCTAATGGGAGTGCAATGGAGGAATGAAGGTGTCGTTCAGGCTGATCTATACAAAGATCAAGACAAAACTATTCACCCCACACGCCTATTCGAAGTTAATTTTCCTCGTAACCATGGTACCCGCCACGACGGGAGACTGATGTCTGGGGGAGTTCTCCTGAAAGCCGCACCGTAAATACAAATGGTATTTAATTTTTCTTTTTCTCCTATGGGTTTAGAGGTAAAACGAGAACTGGGTGTGTGGAAGAAGTCTTACAACTCTATCTCTAATTATTCGAGAGAAGAGGAGAGCGTCAAGGCAATCTTGGAGAGAAAAATGGCCACACTAGAGACACTGATGAGGAGGAAATTATATGACTCTAAGTATGAAACACGGGATGATTCAGCAAAACTGTTACAAACTCGGAGGGGCAATACGGCATATCATAAGGATTGAGAATTGCATAGCCTGTCCGGTAATGTCATCGTTCATTGCTAGGGATGTCGTTCTTATTATGGACTGACTGTTCGTGTGCATCGAAATATTTACTTTAATTTTATGTTCTTTCAATTTCATGTTTTCTAATAATTATTTTTTAGAAATTGCATTCGTTGATCAGAAATAGCTGAATTTCGTATTTTACTGATTTGGTAATCGAATTAGTCTCCTAACAAGTGAACTACAATCAGGTGCTATTGAATGCAATTTTTCGACAACAATTATTAGGAAACATGAAATAAAACTAATTTAAATAAATAAAACGGCGTGCGTTTAACATTTCTGGTCATGGACTGTTATGTAATTCTCAATTCTTATAATGTGCTGTGACGCCTCTCCAAGTTTTGTCTGATTTGTTGAACCCCTCTCTATAACCTTTCACCTCAATACATTTTCCAAATGAGTGTTTTAAGACAGTTTTCTATGATGAGAATTATACTCTTCCTAAAATGAATAGGCATCTCGAAAATGCATAATTTCCCCCCTCTCCACGCTTATTCCCTTTCCGTTACCAAGTATGAAACTTTTTATTATTAAAATTTCTACATTGATTAAATAGAGTTGTGAGCTAGCAAAAATTACCGATGTTAAATAGTTAAAAAAAAATAGTGCGTGGAGTCCCTCCGNAAAAAAAAAAAAAAAAAAAAAAACAGAATTACTTAAAGTACAATAATTTTTATTTCTCATACCATTTGGCAACATGGTACTGTTGATGTCTTTTTCGTGGGCATCATATAAGTGGATCAACGCCCCCCCCTACAACATAAAATAACAGATAAAAATGAGAGAGAGAAATTGCATCCATGTCCGAAGCGAACCCGGGATCTTTCTGAGATAAGGTCAGCTCCCTGACCACCATATATGCCTGTCGGTAAAATATAATTTATAACAAGTGAAACTTATGAGAAAAATTGGGGGGGGGGGCTCTACAATTGCCATTTAATCCGCTGTCGGAATTTCAAGACACTAACAACAACACACTGCACCCGTGGCGATTTTTTAAAACAATCCAAGCAAGTTTTTCAAATCTCGCCTAACTAGGTTTTTGAGAGATATTTCGTGGAATTTCAATAAATGATTGTTTAGATAAATTGTTAATTATTGAAATGTTAATAATTTAAATGAATTGTTAATGTTGTTTGAATAAATTGTTTTTTATTTTTAATAATTAAAAAGCAACATTGTTCCCAGTAATAATTGCCAACTTGGCAAGATTTCAGAAAGTCGCCAAGAGGTGGACTATTCTAGGATTTTATCGAAAATTCAGCTTATTTGATATATTTTAATGTAATTTTAAGAAATATTATTGAAAGTTTATAACTGAGTTATTAATGGTTTGTTTTGAGGAATGTTTTTTCGTTTGCAGGATGTCAATAGATGATTATAAAACAACTTTAACGGAACTAACCAATTCTGTAAGTATTAAACGAAAAATTACATAACTTGAATAATTTAACTAAAATAATATTAGATTATAATACTATTATTTTTAAGCTACAATTATTTTTAATTTAATAATATTAGAAAAAAGTTGAATTGTAATATTCACTAAGATAGGATCTTTTTTACATCATGTAAGATGATGTTAAAAAGTTCCTTCAAGGTATTTCTTTTTTAAAATTTATATTCAAAGTTTAGAAAAATCGGTCGTATAGTTCCTGAAAAATAAAAATTTAATTTCCTTAAATGTTATTTCTCTGGAACAATTAGACCTATTCAAATAACAAAGTCAAATAACTCGGGAAATACACATCGAATCAAAAACTAAAAATAAACAAATGAAATGTTTTAAAACAAGTAAATTTAAAAACAATTCCTATTCAGGTCAAAAAAGAAAATGTCATTTTAGTTACTCTTTATTAAATATTTATACTAATTCTTTGCAGTTTGTAATTAAAGTATTTTTAAAATTGTAATAATTTTTTAAATAATTACAATTTTTAAGTGTGCAAAAATTAGGAAGGAAGTCGATTTATTAGAAAGATTTTCAAAATATCAATGTTTGTTTTTATTTTTTCGATCTGACGAATATTTTATGAAAGCCGTGGTGGCTCAGGGGATAGAGCAATCACCTCCCAATGAGGTGAACCGGGTTCGATTCCCGGTGGCTGCTGGTTGATTCGAATTCCGCTCTCGGATCGTACTGACCACAGTGCAGACGTAAAATATCCTATTTGGTGGACGGATTATTGGTTAGAATCCCCTGGTCATCAGGTTAACCGTGGGAGGTTTTCGTTGTTTTCTTGTCTATGTAACCCAAAAGCGAGTTAGTTCCCTCAAAAAGTCCTCCACGATGGCAAATTTCTCCCAATACTTGATCCAGGAGCTCCCTTGTCTTCTGGATTGGGTTCAAAATTACAAGGCTACGGAGTTGAGCATTGTTAGCCGTAAACTCAAAATTCGGTCAGCTGTTCAACTACGATTATAATGTAAAATAATATATTTTATGATTCGATTATTAATAATATATTATACGGTTATAATATATTTTATGAAATATCTCAATTTTAAAGTTTTTTTATGACATTTTCATTTTGTATATATAGCACCGACTATGAACCAAAACGCTAAAACTTGTGTGCCAAATTGTAGTACTTTTTCTGGAAAATCCAAAACTTCAATGGGGAAAAAAAAGAGTTCCTATTTAAGATTTCAAAGCTGTCCCAAATCCAAGGGATAAGATTAGGAGATCAAGTTTAGTATCACTGTAAATGTTTCACACGTGTAATTAGGATTTTGTATCCGATAAGCATTTGTCACGAGGTATTCCGTATGACCATTTTCCATGTATTTTTGGACACCCTGTATATAAGTATTTATTAATTTCTAGATGAAAAAGAAGAATAAATATCTGCTTTACAAATCTTGTGCAGTGATGACAGCTGTTCTCGTTTTACTACTATTGAGGAATGCACCCTTGCATATCACATCAGGTATATTTTATTTAAATATGATTTATGAAATAACTCTGGGGAATAATGATTGTATGAATGATCTTGACTTCATTTTGTAACTGACTTGTTTCTGTAACAGGCGAGCATTTCCTGTTTTTGGACAGGATACGGACACTTAGGGGCATGTATTTCAAAGAGACATCCTAAGCTGTTCAAAACTGTATTAAACTGTGTTAAAAATCTAGAATTAGTAACATAGTTAAAACACTCATATCTCGAAATGTTATCCCTGAGCGTTGCGTTTAAAAATAAATCATCATAATCATTCCTTAGTCTTTGTCGACAACCCAGTGTGGGCGAAACGCCTTAATCATTGAGAACTTTCTAGGCACCTCTTCTCTCATATATTTATATAGTGTCTCACTATATTTTTTTTAACAAAATTTATTTTAATCAACAACAGTTGAAACCTCACTATTCCTTTTTTTAAGAATGTATTTTTTATATAGTTATATATTTAAATATAGTTATAATTATTGTTTTGTAGGATGGACAGCAGTTCTTGGAGCGTTGTGCCTACTTGTTCTTACGGATTTGAACAGTATGGAGAGTCTAATCAACAGAATTGAATGGTCCACATTACTTTTTCTAGCTTCCTATTACATTTTTACTAAAGTAAGGCCCTCCTTCTAACATTGTCAGATTGTTTTAATTTTTTTTTTACTTACAACTGAAGGACTTGGGAGAAATAAACGTAATTATAACACATCCGTTAATAAGCACCAAATGTGGCTACTATTGTTCGTAAACCAGGAGACAATAATAAATGAAAAAAATATTGATATTAAATATTTACTAAGTTTGATGGAGTCGCGTTCTTGTTATCGTTTTTTGAATGCAGGTATATTTGAAACCTATCATTAGGAGTATTTCTGGTAATATTTAGAATATTGCAACAACGTCAATATTAAATAATGATTCTTTTTATATGACCGTGAACACCTGCTAAAGAACTTCTTCCCAGTTTCAGTACTAATTTATTATTCCAAAAACTTTGACTGCGAAGTAATTTTAGGAAAAATAAATTTTTAATAACAAATTCGTTTTTTTTTATTATGCAAATAAACTTTGAATAATTTTTCATTCAACAAACAAAAATATTATTAAATAAACAATGCAGTTTTATAAAAATACTCATTTATACAAACTTGAATAAAATACTTACTTGCTTTACAAACTGCATTCACTTGTGAATAGTACTTAAGCACATCGAGCTTTTTAATAGCTGCATTTCAAAAAATTAAAATTTTTTAGCAAAAAACATAAAGTATCGAAATTAAAAATAAATTTCACTCAAAATTATTAAATTTTAAGAAAACAGTTAAATTCAAGAATTAAAACAAGTAAAAAAAAAGCTTCAGTAAAGCCATGTTTAATAGTATGTGACAACGTAAAAAAGTTTTTTAAAAAAATAATAACACTCGTATAAATCATCAATAGTATTATGTATTACTTACTAATGAAAATGATTATTAAGGTTTTATTCTTGAAATGAATATATACTTTATATAATAATATAAAAACTGGTTCAAATTATTTAATTAATAAAAAATATTACATAATAAATATAACATTTTTCATAAAACCGCAGTTTTTAAGCCTAAAGCTAGCGAGAGTTTCAAAAGGTTTAACAACATATAACAGGCGATAAAGCAAAGTAATAGATGGGAAGAAGAAAAAAAACTTCTCTGTTTGGCGCGCATTGAAGGTTTTTCGCCAAACGTCTCCTCTCTGAAATGAACTTAGCATCCGAAGAGATGGAGCCAAGTGCCAACTCCTGGTGAGCGAACAATACAAACACATATTTGTTAGAGTCTCAAAAGATAGCTGCTCATTAAAATTTCGACAATTAACTACCGAGATATGTTTCAAAGAGTGGGTTAAGAAGTTTCGAATCACAATAAGAAGACGAGGTAGAACAATGGTCAAAAAATAAGTAATAGGATCAAGAAAAAGAGAGAGATCAAGAATTAAAGAGATCAGAATGCAAAGAGATTTAAAGACAAGGGATTCGAAAAATAAAAGGATCTGGAAATAAAAGAATCAGGGAAGAAAGGATGTCAGGAAATAAAGTCATCAAGACATAAGGTGATCGAAAAATTAAAAAAAATCGTAGAATTAGATGATAAGGTAATGTAAATCATTCCACTAAAGCCTGTTGTAGATCATGGAGGTCTTAGTTCCACAATTTTGTAACCAATGGTAGGAAGGTACTTTATTTACATCGCACTGCACAATTGGCTAATTTATAACCGTCGTTGAACAACCGACACAATGTTTGAATTTACGACTATTAACTCCATTACTTTGAAATTTTGTACTCAATCTAAAGGAGACTCCTGGATAAACATGCCTTCGTGGAGGACTTAATGATGGAGCTAACCCACATTTGCGTTACATGGAAAGTCTCCCACGGTTAGCCTGATAGCAAGGGGGCTCTAATCCATGATCCGTCTATCATTGAGGATATTTTACGACAGCACTGTGTTGTGATCGGTACGAGCCGGGTTCGGAATTCGAATCCCAGTCATCGCTGTGATTCGAATCTGGCTCATCTCGTTGGGAGGCAACATATCAATCCCCTAAGCCACCACGGCCACAATGGGCTACTTTATATTTTATAACCGTCGTTGAACAGCTGACCCAATCCTTTTGGATTTACGACTACCAATGTTCAACTCCCTAGTCTTGTAATTTTGAACGCAATCGAGAGAACAAAGGATTTCCTGGATCAAGTACTGGGTGAAATTTGCCTTCGTGGAGGACTTTTTTGATGGAACTAACCTGCATTTGTGTTTTACAGCGAAGACACTCAGAGAAACTATCTATAGTTATCCAGGGAGGCGAGAGAATTTTAATCCATGATCCGTCTACCACTGAGAATATTTTACATCGGCACTGTGGTCGGTGCAAGCCGGATGCGGAATTCGTATCAACCAGCCATCGGTGGGATTTGAACCCACTTCACCTCATTGGAAGGCGAACGCTGATCCATCACTGCTTACAATGGGTTATTGGCGATGGTATGGGAAGCAACCCTGAGGACGATCTGAAGACATGCCATCACAATTTCAATCCTCTGCAGAAGGGATAGCTCAACCGCTTTGGTAGTCAGACGAAGTGGGCGCGAATTCTAACTAAACCCATGATTGAGCGAAAGCAGTATTTACTCCCTATATAATTTTGTACTCATTGATCTGAATCTGCTGGGTAGATATCAAGTCGCTACTGACAATCTCATGTTATGAAAAGGTGATTAAATTAAAATATACGAGACCTTAATTTCTGTTAGGGTATGTGTTTATTATATACATTTTAATTTTATATATACACATATGTGTGAAATTATTCTGGTCGAGGTGCGATGTGTAATATTTCATGAAATCAATGTTTTTCAAAAGATACGTTCAACGTATGTCTCTTTTTACAGGCTCTTGTGAAACTAGATTTAGTCAGCTATCTGGTGCACGAAGCTCAATATTTCATAACAAATTTGGACGAAAATTACAGCCTGATGATTGCATTGATTTTTACTGTCTGGGTTTCTGCTTTATCTTCAAGTGTTGCTCTGCCCTTCTCTGCAGCTGTGGTGAGTTCAGTGTCTTGAAAGTGACCAGAGTTACTTTAACAGCTGTACTTTTTTATTATATAGATATATATTTTTTAATACTATTTTTATAATTTTCACAATAATCATACTGCATATGTTTCTCCCTATCCAGAAAGCATGTAACCTTACGGCGACCTTGTGTCGAAATTTTATTTTTATTGTCACGAAAATGTTTTTACTAAAAACCTTTTTTCAACGAAACAAAAATGTTGCAGTTTCAAACCTTTCATCCAAAAAGGATTAAAAATCATTTTTTAAAGCTTTTTTTAAAAAAGCATTGTCTCTTAGGTCCATTTGCGTTATAGCTGAAGTCACACTAGCGATGGGATCAAAATGCATTGTTCATTAAAATTTCATGACAAAGGTGGATTTTAGCTGAGCATACAAGACGTTGCGAAAAAAAACCTTATAATTACCTGGATTTAAGATTATTTTCACCTTAAGACTAGCTTTATTAAAAGATTTTTTCATGCTTGAAAACCCTAAGTCAATTTCGATTTAAGATTTTTATATAGAAGGTTGTTTTCCAAGGTTTTGGATGAGGATAATGTGCGTAGAATAGAGCAGATTGTCACAGACCTCGTTTTAAGGTTAGTAGGTTAACACGTAAATCGTATAAAAACCCTTTTTAGGCTAACCGACTTTGTGCAGGATTTCGCAGTTTTTGACTTTGTCATGTAAAAAAACTATGTTAATTTAAACTTTAGTAAAATTTATCGATATTATATTCATAACTGGACTCAGACGAGTGAATTTGATCAATATTGGCATTATTTGTATGTAATATTTACAAATAATAAGTCAAAACATACCTTGCACAAAGTAGCCCCCAAGTGGGGCTACTTTGTGCAGCGATAGGAATTCAGTTTAATAATCATGTTTTTAGTAAAATATTGATATAAAATTGTTAAAAAAGTTAATTGTTGACATTTTTAATAACAAAAACATCAAGATATGTAAAGATATTAGTTTGAAAATAATTTTCAGCGTTAAAAAACCATTTTTTATAAAGAATTTTTTCTTAAAAAGAATGTTTATTTCAAAACATTTGAGTTTAAACAAAAGGAAACCATATACATTTTTGAACATTGAAATGGATGAAATTTCAAAAATAATAATTATTACATATTCATTAACATTTATAATATTGATAAATTTGAACATAACATGCTTGAATGAACATGACAGAACTTGCTCTTCAGTTTCTGTCAAAATCACCTGATGTCCTATAAAATATATTTTTATGTGTTAAATCGTTTGATTAATTCATTAGAAAAATCTTTGTAGAAGAAAAATAATAGTTTACCAGCACGTTTCACGTGTTTCTTGTGAATTTTATTAGAGATAGTATTTCTGTGGATTTTGTACTTCCGAGAAGCTTCTGCAATCGACATACCACCAGCAACTGCTTGCAAACATTGTTGCAGCTTTTCTAAAGTGTAATCACGGTAGTTTCTCGTTCCAGGTATTTTTTTATAACGTCTGACCATTTTTCTGTCGAAAAAAAAAACGAATGAAACTTTGCACAAAGTAGCCCCAAAGTGCATTTTTTTTCATTTTCCGTTTATTTGTTATTAATTTTCAAATTTTTTTAACGCTAACATGATATAATTGTTTATTAATATATAAATAAAAAATTTTGCACTTACGACAATTGTTTTATCAACGTCTTTGCATTTCACAGCTAAAGTTTCCACGCACACTTTTCGACATCCGACGTCCTCGGAAAGTTGTTGACATTGGATGAACGAAACACACTCTGAGATTGTTTTAAAATTCGAAAAAATGTTTGTAGTAATAGAAGAGACTTCTATTTTCAAATTCCACACATTTTTAAAGTGAAATAAACATAATACTGAATAGCAGCACTTGAAAAATGCCAAATTCGAATTGGCACAAAGTAGCCCCCGCTGCACAAAGTAGCCCCGAATGACGGTACATTAAAATGTTCTTCCTAAGTGAAAATAAACTTCATTTTGCTATCTGTGTACTGATCACACTGACTTATAGTTTTACATTAAATTTATACAATCTATTTCTCTATATAAAGAATGTAAAAATGATTCATTCTGTTTTAGATGGAACTAATCAATGAAAAATATGATAATTGCTCTCCAATCATATATGCTTTATCGCTTGGAGCTTGCATTGGAGGTAAGATTTTACAGCATGAGGTTGTTTAGTGCACGTCTCACGTATGTTTTACTTATTTATTTATCAGAGGTAATATAATGCTTGTATGCCAAAAATTCGGCCCCTTCCATGTGTATTTCCCCAGATCTCGGATAGTGTTTAAAAAAAATAAATAAATAAATTGACTCAATTATAAAAACGGTCGTACAAAGATAATTCTAGGTAAAAAAATAATTCTGAAAATTACTTATTGCTTTTCATCATTTTATTTAAAAAGAGTTTTAAAATTTTTAAATAGTAAAAATCCACATTTCCTTCAAATTACGCATCTTAAAATGGTAAGAAAGATTTGTAAACTTCACTAATCAAAGTTTTCTTCTTTAAATAAATAATTATCAAAAAAATATTTTTTGAGTGAAATTTAGAATAATAATGTTTTATTATTGTATAAAAAAATTTCCGAAATTATTCAGAACTTTCGGAGATATTGGGAAATATGTGAAAAGTGAAAATAATATTAACGAGACCAAATTTTAATCGCTCTTCTTATCAGGAACATATTTTTGGATTTATGACTACTAATGTTCAATTCCGTAGCCTTGGAATTTTGAACCCAATCCAGAAGACAAGGGAACTCCTGGATCAAATATTCGGAGAAATTTGCCTTGATTGGAGGGCTTTTTGATTAAATTAACCCGTATTTGCTTTACATGGAGAAGGAAACCGCGAAAACCTTCTATTGTTAGCCTGACGGCAAGAGGACTCTAACCCATGATCCGTCTACCACAGAAGATATCGTATGTCAACTGTGTGGTCGGTACGAGCCGTGTGCGGAATTCGTATAGACCAGCCATTGCTGCGGGCTCCATTTTATTTCATTGAAAGTTCGAGTTTCTCAGTCAGTGATAATTTTTTAAGTCAGTGATAAACAGCTCTGACATTTAGTTCGTGAAAATCGAATTATTAGATTTAAAAAAAATATTTACTACTTCCAAAAGGATATTAAAACTACTTTAATTATTCACAAACGCCCTTTAAGAATTTGTTTTTATCTCTTAAATTTTAAAACGTCTTGTTTTATTCTTTTCTTTCAGTGAACGGGAGTCTGTTAGGAGGTGTCTCGAATATTTTGAGTTCTGGAATAGCTGAACACCACGGTTTTCGTTTCTCTTATTTGGATTTTTTGAAGTATGAATTTAAAAATACTAAATTAATGAATTTTAAGCATTTGAAATTTTTAGTTTTAAGTTGTTGTATTTATATATAACCACAGTTTACGTTAATGGTATCTGATTTAATTGCAATTGGACTCTAATCAATTAAACTTAATAATTTCTAATAATTTGTCTCTAATAATACATTTTCTTGATACTATACATTATTATAAGAAAGCTAGTAAAAACCCAAATAATACGATATGTAAAGCAAATAATATATAGTAAAATACACGATATAAATGCAGAAGAGCTAATGTTTCCGAAAAAAATATGAAAAAAAAAGTAGATAATCATACAGGTTATTCACAGCAGAGGTTGAATGAAACTTAAGAAAAGCCAATTTGTTTTGTCTGATGCATCTTAATTTTCCCGGTCGAATTATAAAGTAAAATTTTTCAATAATAATAATAAACAGATAGTATTTTAATTTTTTTATGTTTATATCAGAAACTATGTTCGTTAATTGATTTTAAATGCAAAATAAGATGTATCACTTACTTGTACAAACTCACAAGTAAGGTTTATACTTTACGATACATAAGATTAAAAATGACAAAATTATGTAAATATAAATATTCCAAAGTATAAGTTTTGACAAAGAAATTCGCAAAAATTAGCAAGGTTTCAACAAACAATCAAAATATAAATTATTGATGTCAAAAACAATTGTAGTAGCATTTAAAATTGAAAATGAAACACGTGCTATATTTTTCTTTCTAAGAAATTGCTTTGCTCCTTTGAAACTTTTTTCCATCTGAAAAAACACTTCTCGAAACATCATGCTCAAAAACGTGAGCATTTTAAGAATGAAGTTCTATTTAAAGGGCAAAAAAAGGAAAGTGTATTATGAGTACTAGTTTTCTTATTATTTTTACATGTATGTCAATCCTTTTCACACATTTCACTAAGCAGTATAGTGACCCGGAATTGATCCCGTTCTTAACTCTATGAGGCTGCAAGCACACAAGTTTTTTGTTCCTCAATGAAATAGATACCCCACAAAAACAAATTGAAAGAAATGTTATATTCCACGAGAACAAATTGAAATATAAGGCTTTCTGTATTCTTATTCTTCATAAATCTATCAATCCTTTTCTCCCTCTTTGCTGATCGTTAAATAAAAAAATAAGAATAGAGAAGAAAAAAAAAATTAAAAAAAAAAAAAAGACGTCGTATAACCGATAATTTATGTTGTTTTGAGACCGTTTTGGTGACTTAAGTTTCGTTTCTCTCAGCGGCACAAAAAATAAATAGAAATAGTTCTACTAAAAAAAAAATAAAAAAAACATTTACAAGGTAAAAAAATTTATTTATTTAAAATTGAAACCAAAAATTGAAGTGAAAAACTTACAAAAGAAAAGGAAAAAAAAAGGGGGGGGGGTAAGTAGGTAGGTATTTTATTTACGTCGCACTGGAGATGCATTATGAACTATTTCATTTTATAACCGTCGTTGAACAGCCGACCTAAATATTTGGGTTTACGACTACTAATATTAAACCTCGTTGCCTTGTAACTTTAAACCTAATCCAGAAGACAAGGAAACTCCTGGATAAAGTATTCCGAGAAATTTGCCTTCCTGGAGGACTTTTTGATGGAACTAACCCGCATTTGGGTTATATGGTGAGGAAAACCACGAAAACTTCCCGTGGTTAGCCTGACGGAAAGGGGATTCTAACCCATGATCCATCTACCGCGGATGATATTTTCACGTCAACACTGTGGTTGGTGCAATCTGGATGCGGAATTCGTATCAATCAGTCATCGCTAAGATACGATCCCGGTTCACCTCATTGGAAGGCGAACCCTCCATCCACTGAGAAATAACGGCTTACAATGAGCTATTGGCGACGTTCTGGGAAATACCCTGAATAGGATCGGAAGACATGCCAGCACTATTTTGATGCTCTACAGGGGTGATGCTCCCCCGCTTTGGTAGACCGACGACCTGCGCGCGACGGCGAGCACTTTACGGTAGAACAATTTAAGGAGAACCGATAATCTAGTACGGGGCTGATCAAAGTGGTCCCCCATCCGCTTATTGACTGCCGCCACTGATGCTTGACTTTAATGTTCATCTGGAAACCGTGCCTTTACGATCAGCCCAATGCGGGACAAAATAAATAAATAAATAAATAAATAAAAAAAATTAAGGAGAAATTAAAAGATGGGAAAAAACTAAAGGTCTCATTTTGATGATGTCATCCTGTGAACTGAAGATTCCACGGGGTGGCTGAAACAGTTTCGATTAAAGTTACGTTCGTTAGCTTTTTTTTTCTTTCGTTGTTGCATAACCGAACTAATTTATCACAGCCTAGCTTAAAAATGGACTGCTGTGACTGCAACGAAACGGCAACGAACGAGAAATTCATAAACGGTGTTTTGCTGTATTTATTTGCTGATTAATTAAAATTTCGAATTTTAAAAACAAAAATTTTTTAATAGAGGTAAATTTAAAGGTTGTTTTTTAATATAAACGTAAAAAATTGTAAAATGAATATCTTTGAGCGTTTGCCAAAATTTTTATTCTCTAAAAAATGAAACAGATTTGATTATTTTGACGCAGCTACCGACACGGTAATCTTCCCGGAAACTTTTTCAAAAATGAAACCACAAATAATTATACAGTTATCACAAACTAATATTTCATTAGTTGTGAAGAGAAAACAAATATGCTATCAAGAATTGACGAATTGAAATTGAGGAAAGCAGGATTAAAATTATCAAAATCTGTTTCCTTGTCTAAAGTGTTTTTCTAGTCTTAGTTTTCATCAAGCAGGTTTTGGTGTTTTTAAATGACACCTTCCACGTCTGTGATTTGGCCAAGTTTTAATTTATAGCAATTTTGTTTTCTCGTGTGTATTTTTTTACTTTATTTTAACACTGGACCACCTTAAATATTAAAAACATAAATTAATTAAAAAAAATATTGTTTAGAAAAAAAATTTAAAACCTAACGTTTAATTTAGAATAGGTTTTCCAATCATGATGTTGGCAACGACTGTATCAATGGTCTATCTACTAATTTGTCATATCTGGCTTGAATGGAACGACTGAAGCAGCGCCACCTTCAGAGTTTTCATATACATTTATCATGCTGATCGATGTTAGATATACTTTTTAGAAAATATTTTAATTTATTATTTTGTGTAATAAATGTTGTTTTGTATTGTTTTCATTTATTTCCGCATTAAATTCAATTTACTCTCATTATGGCTCCAGAGACAACGAAGAGCCACCATTTTCCAAGCTTCTTTTGAAAGAGGTTGCTCAAATTGCATTGTCCGTTAAACTTCCAAGACAAGGTGGATTTTAGGTGAGCAAGACTTTGCGGAAAGAAACCTTATAATTACCTAGATTTAATATTATTTTCACTTTGAGACTAGCTTTATTAAAGGATTTTTCCACGCTTCAAAACCCAAAGTCAACCTGGATGTAAGGTTTTTATATAGAAGATTGTTTTCCAAGGTTTTGGATTTGGGTTATGTCCGTAGAGCGTAGAATAAAACAGATTGTCTCAGATCTCGTTTTAAGGTTAGAAAGTTTACACATAAACCGCATAACAAACCTTTTAAGGTTTACATTGAAAGGTTTTTGCTGAGTTTAAATAAATTTTATTTTGTGATCTGGNAGTGGATAACAATTGTAAAAAATGAGTGAAAACAATCCCACGGACAATGCGACGGATTTAAGGTTATGTCAAGGTATGTCTCTTGTGGATATCAATTGATTGTTAGGTTTTCTCTTCTGAAATTACATTATGACGCATTCACATACATTATTAATACAAATGCATTTTCCCGGGCGAGACGATGAGGCAATCACAAGCACTTCCACTGGTTCAAGAGGTCCACGAAGGAAAAATGCACAATACCGTGATTACAGAGCACGGAAGCGAGCGGAACAGGAAAAAGAGTCGTTGAATAGAACTAGTGATCCTTCTATGACTGCTGATTCTTCTACAATTAACGTCGCAGGTTACGAAGTTTAACTTCTTCCGCTCGGAGGTACTCCACGCACTATTTTTTTATTTTTATATGTATGCCAATCCTTTTCACACATTTCAGGGAACAGTGACCCGGAATCAATCCCGTTCTTAACTCTATGAGACTGCAAGCACACAAGTTTTTTGTTCCTCAATGAAATAGATACCCCACGAGAACAAATTGAAATATAAGGCTTTCTGTATTCTTAATTTTCATAAATCTATCAATCCTTTTCTCCCTCTTTGAAGTTTTTTAAATAAAAATAAGAATAGAGAAAAAAAAGGAAGGGGAAAAAAAAAAAAACATAGTATAACCGTTAATTTATGTTGTTTTGAGCCCGTTTTGGTGACCTAAGTTTCGTTTCTCTCAGCGGCACGAAAAAATAAATAGAAATAGTTCTACTGAAGAAAAAAAAACATTTGCAACAAGGATAAAATTTTTTATTTATTTAAAGCTTAAACCAAAAATTAACACAAGTGAAATACGTACAAAAAAAAGGGGGGAAGGTAAGTAGGTAGGTATTTTACTTACGTCGCGCTAGAGAAGCGCAATGAACTATTTCATTTTACAGCCGACCTAATTATTTGGGTTTACGACTACTAATATTAAATTATCAAAATCTGTTTCCTTGTCAGTCTTAGTTTTCATCAAGCAGGTTTTGGTGTTTTTAAATGACACCTTCCACGTCTGTGATTTGGCCAAGTTTTAATTTATAACAATTTTGTTTTCTCGTGTGTATTTTTTTACTTTATTTTAACACTGGACCACCTTAGATATTGAAAACATAAATTAATTTAAAAAAATATTGCTTAGAAAAAAAATTTAAAACCTAACGTTTAATTTAGAATAGGTTTTCCAATCATGATGTTGGCAACGACTGTATCAATGGTCTATCTACTAATTTGTCATATCTGGCTTGAATGGAACGAGTGAAACAGCGCCACCTTCAGAGTTTTCATATACATTTATCATGCTGATCGATGTTAGATATACTTTTTAGAAAATATTTTAATTTATTATTTTGTGTAATAAATGTTGTTTTGTACTGTTTTCATTTATTTCCGCATTAAATTCAATTTACTCTCATTATGGCTCCAGAGACAACGAAGAGCCACCATTTTCCAAGCTTCCTTTGGAAGGAGGTTGCTCAAATTGCATTGTCCATTAAACTTCCAAGACAAGGGGGATTTTAGGTGAGCAAGACTTTGCGGAAAGAAACCTTATAATAACCTAGATTTAATATTATTTTCACTTTGAGACTAGCTTTATTAAAGGATTTTTCCACGCTTCAAAACCCAAAGTCAACCTGGATGTAAGGTTTTTATATAGAAGATTGTTTTCCAAGGTTTTGGATTTGGGTTATGTCCGTAGAGCGTAGAATAGAACAGATTGTTTCAGATCTCGTTTTAAGGTTAGAAAGTTTACACATAAAGCACATAACAAACCTTTTAAGGTTTACATTGAAAGGTTTTTGCTGAGTTTAAATAAATTTTATTTTGTGATCTGGAAATTAGATTCACCTTATTTTCAAAATTTTTTAAGAAGCGAAATAAAAATTTTAGAAAATATGAAATAAAAGTTAAATTTGGCTGGAAAAGTATCAGAGGTCAATAGTTTAAAATTGTAAACAAAAATAAATTTAAAAAAATGAATTAATAATAGAAAAAAAAACTAAAAAACTTTTGCAAAATATTCTGCGCAAAATTTTATAAAATTAGATTAAAACATAAATCTTATTTTAAACAAAATTAATTTTATTTTTATTTTAATGTAATCCTTAAATTATATTACTGAAGTAGAAGACAAAGTGAAAGCAAAAAACAGGGAGTGTTATAACGATTTTTTTTACGTAAGCATGGGAGGGAGGCTTCTGATTTATTTATTTTTCTAACAAGAAGGGAGAAAGAAATTGGCAAAAATATGCAGACATAATACACTGGTGTAAGAAATTAAGTGGATTTGCAGACTTGGTCGATCATCTCTGGAACTACTGGGCCTATTTTATTGAAATTTGATAATTACATGCATTGATACAATACAAAACAAATAACCATTCAACAATTGTAATACGCACGCATGATCGCACGTAACACTCGTTGGAGTCGGAAAGTATGAAATTGCCAGAGGACAATTCAGGCCAATTGCCACAGGAAATGATAAAATGACTTATTTCACGTATGAAATAACGCCTGTGTAGCTGCAAGAGGGGACCATAACCCTTATTAACCTAATTTTTTTTTAAATTCTGCAAATGCTGTTTCATACCTTCAGATTCCAACGAGTGTTAAGCACGATCATGCGTGTGTATTACAATTGTTGTATGGTTATTTGTTTTGTAATGTATCAATGCATGTACATATCAAATTTTATAATCGGTCCAGTAGTTCTAGAGATCGTCGACCAAGTCTGCAAATTCTGTTAATTTCTTATACTAGTGCAGGGATGGGCAAACTTTTTTGGTCGAGGGCCGANCAATCAACAATTGTAATACACACACGCATGATCGTACGTAACAAACGTTGGAGTCGAAAAGTATGAAATTGCCAGAGGACAATTCAGGCCAATTGCCACAGGGAATGACAAAATGACTTATTTCACGTATGAAATAACGCCTGTATATCTGCAAGAGGGGACCATACCCCTTATTAACCTATTTTTTTAAAAAAAAAATCTGCAAATTCTGTTTCATACCTTCCGATTCCAACGAGTGTTAAGCACGATCATGCGTGTGTATTACAATTGTTGATTGGTTATTTGTTTTGTATTGTATCAATGCATGTAATTATCAAATTTCATAATCGGTCCAGTAGTTCTAGAGATCGTCGACCAAGTCTGCAAATTCTGTTAATTTCTTATACTAGTGTATTTGAACCCTTTCGATAAAGAGACTTTGAAAATAATTATTCCATTACCGAATAGGAATTGTCTTGATATTGCAGATGCTTCATTATTATTTATTTGGCAATAAATTTACCATACGTATAGAAGATGTAGCAATTGTGTGACTGAACAATGAACAAAAAAAATCTAAAACGGATAGGTTAGTTAAGTATGTATTACAATTGTAATACAGCTGAATATGCACTTAATTACGACATAAAATGCACAAGTGACACCTTAAATCTTGAAGCTGACATGTTGTCTACAGATAATCCTGACAATAGTAATTGATATAAATAATGGAACCCATTATTTACATCTTTTGCAATAAGATGAATTTCCTATAGTCCAACAAAACGATAATTTAATTGGAAATCTTTTGTTCAACTTAACAGCATTTTTTGTTTACATAAAAAGGGTTTTACCAAAATTGTCGCATTTTCTTTAGGAGAACAAATTATTTAAAATTACTCATGAAAAGTTCGGTCCTCTTGGGATGCAAAAACTATAAATCACTTTGAGAAGTATTACTTCCCAATTTTACCTTGGCCGCAGCTGGGCTCAGAATTGGCTCAATATGAGTCCTATATAAATATGCCCCAAGAGATCAATATTGGGATGTCTTGGTTTTTTATAATGGTCCTTTATAGGGCCAATATCGGTCTATATACGGCCAGTATAGATTGAATAATGAATATAAAATATCGGATGAATCTGAATTGGCTCAATATGAGTCCTATATGAACATGCATCAAGAGACCAATATTGGGATGTCTAGATTTTTTAATATTGGTCCTTTATAGGGCCAATATGAGTCCTATATGAACATGCATCAAGAGACCAATATTGGGATGTCTAGACTTTTTAATATTGGCCCTTTATAGGGCCAATATCGGTCCATATACGGCCAATATAGATTGAATAATGAATATAAAATGGGGTCAATTTGACAACTCTATATAGGGCTTATATTGGTTGTAAAGTGGCAGTAAAATATCGGTCGAATCGGAAAATTCTGTAGATGTTCAATATCAGAAAAATAACGGTCCTTTGAACCCTTACTGAGTTATGATTCGTGAATATTGATCCAATGAGAGCCCAAGATATTTTGCTGCCAGGGTTATAAGACATTACAATTTTTAATAAACCTTGCAATACTTATCAAATAAATAAAAAATCTAAAAAAAACAAAAACGATTTGGTTTGCTTCAGGCAATGCACCCAGTCGACAAAACGTTCGAAATAATTGCAATAGATAGTATAGGTCTTTAATAATTGATCATCTTACTCAATATATGTGGTCATTTGCGCCCAATTCTATTTCAACAGAAACTTACGTTAACTTTTACACCATATCTCCTAAAAGAATTCAGAGAGATAGAAACACAGCATTTCTTCTCGTTTTTTTAAAAAAATCGAAAACATTGTAAAATAAAACAATTTTTAAAGACAAACTATAGACTGAAAACTAATGGAAATATTTAACAATTAAGACAAATGATTGTAACGCGTTTAAAATGCAGAATTAATAATTTTTCTAAAAAATTTTTCATGACTTTAATTATTTAAAGAAGTAACTGAATAATATAATTTGACTAAAATTCCACCTGTTTACTTAATGTTTGGCGTTGTCCCATTTGCACACCCATTATCGGAAGAAATTTACTCACCAATGGAAGAATCTTCAAAAATTGTAGTTGACAGAATAAAACAATATCATAAAAAAATAAAATCTATTATGATGCTAGATGAAAAGTAAAATCTATTATGCTTATTCAATTTTCCCCTAACGATACAGTAAAGTATGAAGATTTTAAATACCCAATACCAAAAAACTTACTCCTAATTTTAATGGACCTTACATAATTCTTGAAAAATTTCTGCGAAGGTACCACCCACCTGACAAATTGAAATTATTTCATGAGTAATAAATAACCGTAATAATTTAAATACTAATATGATTTACTATTATAAATAGAGTTTGGAGGCCGGGATAGCCTGATTGGTAGGGCCCTGAGCCCATGTCCAAGAGTTCGTGACTTCGATCCCAGATCGGCCAAAGACTCCCCGTGTAGTAAAATGGTGTCTGAAGCTCGTTAAATCTGTCGAGTCACAAAGTCCTCTATGTTCCCATAACAAATCAATACCTCTGGAGGTACTGATCCAGGAGTTTCCTTGTTTTCTGGATTGGTTCAAATTTACGAAGGCTTTCTGAGTTGGACATGAATTGTCGAAAACCCAATTGAGTCGGCTGTTCAACGACGGAAATAAAATAGAGTTTATTTAAAATACTTATTTTCCCTTTAATGTATATTTTATATCAAATTTAATGGTTTTTCGTTGTTGTTAAATTTAACTTGCCTTTGAAAAATAACTAAGTTTAACATAGCATGGTTCTGATCGGATGAACAAATTATTGTCATCTTTTTCTGGAAGATCAAAACATTCAAATTTTTTACGAGTTCAGCGTTTACCCCTATCTGTTATGGGGCGATGTTTAATATTCCTTCTCTCTGAGGTCAACACCACAAATCGAGTTATGTGGCCCTGGCTAGAGATCGGGAGTTAAAATAAAGAAAAGCTTTGTGCCCAATATTTTTATTATTATTAAATAGCACACGGACAAACATAAATTTGAATAATTACGAGAAGGGAGGAAAAAGAAAGATAGCTTGAATATACGATAAAATTGACACAAAGAAAACACGTCGAAAAATATTATTATTTGCACGATTCGTATTAAAAAGATCGGGATTTTAAAATACACGTAGAAATCTGATCGAAACGATTGACAAGTAGGTTGGATTAACACTGAAATAGACAATTTGAGATTACAAATTCGAAGCTAACGCATCATAATTTCGTATTATTAAAAATATTAGGATTTAAAAAATTATGAAAATTTGTAGGTATTAGGTAGGTACTTTATTTACATCGCACTAGAGCTGCACAACGGGCTTTTGGCGACAGTTTGGTAAACATCCCTGAAGATGATCCGAAAGCATGCTATCGCAAATTTGGTCCGCTGCAGAGGTGATACTTGTAGTGTTTTCAATATAACGCGTTCTTTCAATTTAACTTTCAACGAAACAAACAGCAAATGAATTGGAAGACTCCACAAGCTTACTATAATGCTGACCCAAAATAAAAGAAACGGAACTACCTTAAACTATCATAACCAAATAGATATTACTCAAAACATGGCAAACCTTACACTTTATTTATGCTGTTGATTTTGATAAATTTGTTTTCGGCTCATGACCTGTTAGAATTTATAAATTAAAGTAAACTCTTATGAATGGTAAAATTACGTTTCAATGTAACTCAGTAATAACATAATAATATAAATTAGTACATAAATACATACACAGTATATAAATTTAAACACAAATCACAATTGGCGAAATAGGCTACAGGTAGCATAGAGCAGAACTCTCTACCTATGACAAGATTTCACATGCTTTCACCATTAACTTGTGGAGAGTCATCGAAGGTAGTACGTTAGTTTATGTCTTGATTTTCTACTAGATTAAAATCTTTCAATTTAGGTAACTGTATGCAACTGAAAACTACATTATGCAGTTCTAAAAGAAAATTTCATAAGAATTTTAAAAACATTTTTAACTCTTAAATAAAAAAAAAAATATTAAGGAAAGAAAAAATATCGTTGTACATTCCTATACAACTGAAAAGAGAAGGAGAGGGAAGGGTCAAAGGGATGGAACCGGTCTACTCCCCAGTTGGAGTATTCGAGCGTTGCGATAGCGACTTATAAAACTTCCTAGAATATGAAGCTTGTTCAAACATTGCCTCGTAAACATATTATAAGCGGAGGCATACTCCGGAAGTTATTCAATCTTTATCCGGTTTTAAGTACGGTAGGTACTTTATTTACGTCGCTCTGGAGCTGCACAATGGTCAATGGGGTATTGGCGACGGTTTGGGATCCATTCCTGAGGATGATCCGAAGACTTGCCACATCAATTATGATTCTCCGCAGAGGGCATGGCTCCTTTTCTTTGGTAGCCCGACGATTTGCGTATGAAGTCGAGCACTTTACAATAGAACAGTATAATGAGGACCGATACCGCGCACCCTCAGTCACTTAGCAGGCTGATCAAAGCGGTCACTTACCCGCTTACTGACCACAGCCAGTGATTCTTGACTTCGGTGTTCTACGGGGAACCGTGTCTTTATGAGTCCACTGTGGGATTCTGGTTTTAGAAAGCTTGTAACTGTTTAAATTAAGGCAATCATCCATAAACTCAAATACAATTGGGTATACTATAGCCTACGTCACAGGTTGTGTTATTCCTACTCCCATGAACGGCATTTTCTGCGAGCCTAACTTCAAGTCACAAATAAACAAACGAAGTGTTTGATCGTTTAAATAGCTGCTCGCCAGATTTTATTGCATTATAAAGAAAAGTAATTGATATTCGATTTTTGATTAATAATTGATTGATTGATTGATTTTATTGAAATTACATACATTTGCTGACTTGTGTGCTCAATATAGGCTTATAAGTCATTGTCAAGTAGAAAATACAGATAGAACAATTCAGAGAAAGACATCACAAAGAATACATCCAGGGTTACGGCGGGATTCGAACCCGCTACCTCCACGCTTAACAGAGCGTTTGGACCAGCGATACCGCTCGGCCAGGGAGGCCCCTTAATAATTGATTTATGTGGATAGTGGCATAGAATTTAGCATTGCGTCATGGTAAATGTTATTCCTACTAAGTGGAAGTAGTTGTGTTTTTTTTATATTATACCCAATTATTGCGATCACAAATACGATACTCTTTAGAGGACAACCCGAAACCTTTATATTTCATAAATGTCACTAGATGGCAGCATCGTTAGAAATAGGCTTATAATTTGAAACTTATGCACGTTCTTTAATACAAAGTGGTGCCTCTTCGCCTCCATTTTCGCATATTCCCGGCTCCAAATATTTTGAAAACTGTGTTATAAGGAATCCAGTTTCAGCTAATTTTAAGCGTTTATAAAAGCTAATTCTTCAGTTGCACAAATTTTTACGAATGAATAACAACAATTTTTATTATTATCAATCTCAAAAAGTACCAATTCCTTTAGCTTTTCCTTTTGATTTGAATAAAGATTCTCACTTCGTATTACTACTGTCACTCGAAAAATGATTTATTAATTTAACATTTTATTAATAACTTTTGATTCTTATTTGTGCTATCAACAATGGAAATAACCAGAAACAGTAAGTTTATATCAGAATCTGTCATTTTGTCAATCTTTACATTTAGAATTGTTAATTTTAGTGTTCTGTAATTTCAATAGTACATTTGTTTTGTTTATTTTTAGTGTCTGTATATACCTTAATATTTTTTGTCTTTTTCGGCTCTTTTAAATTGTAACTTAACGACTCAATCTCTTTTTGATTTACCATTCTTATTAAATTCTGTCAGAGTTCCTTTTTTCCGTCATCACATTATCCTATTTTATTCTTGCCTTTGATATTTTCTTGAATTTCAAATAGTTTATTTCAAGCTTAACTTAATAGGTTGTGCATTAAAGATTAGTTTGAAGGAGTGAATTGAACATTTTGTACTTGTTACTTGTCCTTTGCCCTGCTTCCCTTCTTTGCCTAGTAGTGAACCTGATTGCAGAATTTATGTAGACAATCCTCACTATCTATTTAAAACCAAATTTGTCTGCCACATGAACACAGGGGGAGATTTCTGTATCGTGATCTGTGGCAGAAAAATTGCCAAGTGTTGGAAACTTCTAGGCAATGGCCCTCTGGAAACTAAAAAAAACGTCACAGAAAAAGAACAACTCGAAAGGTATAACTCATAGCCACCCCCAGGCAAACATCTGCATGTTTTTTTAAAAAAAAAATTTGAAAGTTTAAAATCTATTTGGCGCTTGTAGTTGACGCGATGGATCAACAATAGTCAGACAGAGATTTTCAGGGATATATCAGTATCCTTATTAACCCCTTAACTGCGGAGTAAAATTTACGTAATTCACTTCCCAGTGCCACCGTTTTTTGCTCAAGTACACTTTCTTATGCGGTGTTTTGGTGGGGTAAAATGATGCACGCGTTGCAATTTAAAAACAGTTTACTTTTACAAGACAAGAAAAAGGAAAGAAAGAAAATACAAAATTTAAATTAAATAATAAAAGTACAATATAAAAGATGTTAAAACTTAGCTGTTGTATGATAAATCCTGAAACATGGTTGGACACATAAACGAACATCACATTGATTGCACTGATAGAGGGATTCACAAAGAATTTTTTTTCTTGAACGGACGGTACATTTTCGCGATTAATTTTTCTTTGAAGACGTTGATGGAAATAATAAAAAGCACTAAATAAACACGGGAAACGAAAGCGAAAAAAGAATAAACCCAACCTTACTCAAATAGAGACATGCAAGCGATTAATACGATATCACTTTTCCATAACATCCTTTCCCCATTCCCCCTCCTCAAAAATTAGTAATACATTTGCAAAGCAAACACTTTCAAGGTCATTTTACTGCATTCTGAAGTAGGGGGGTGTAGTTCTATTTATACCAGTGCAATGCAAAGTATCTTACTTCGGGAAAGCGTATATATACGCCTGCGGCAGTTAACGCATCGTCTGGCCGAGATGTATATATATGCCTGCGGCAGTTAAGGGATTAAGAAATTTCAGTTATTTTATTATGATTTGGAAAACTTGATGGGAAATGCAAACATAATTTTTCAGAAATGCAGATAATCTTATTAGAAAAATAAATTTTTTATTTTAAAAAATTTTGAAATTTCTTTTTTTTACTGGCATTTTACTGTAAATAATTTCATGGAGATAACAAAATATTAAATTAATTAGATCTAAATATGAATACATGGTTTAAAAAATCATTAAAGGGTGAAAAAAAAGTATTTTAAGTTTGGGAATCCTCTTTACCATTCCACAGAATCCTAAAGTTCCGGCGAAACGCCATTTGGGAACTGTCGATTTAAATCATATGCTTTTTGTCAGTATGCTATTTTTCTGTTTGATACTATGCTTTCTGTTTACATTCTTTGATCATGCTCAAATATTGATGATTTTATTATTGTAACTTTTAGATTTTGTTGAAACATTGCCTGCTGTGAAAGAAGCTATAGATTGGTGTGATTTTTTAGCTATAGACACTGAGTTAACTGGTAAATAAATCTAACTTTTATTAAAATTCTTTTGTTGCAAGCTATATAAGACTGCATATCATAAGGATGCACAGGGGGCCTTGATGTGTAACCCGCAGCAACAGCCTCAACAATCTGGAAAATATAGCCCTCATAGTATAGTATGGCGAACAGTCCATAGTTTGTTTCCTTTAATGTTAATTTTATTTTCTGTGTATTTCGCCATGTCTTGCAACTATAAAATTTATTTATCCAAAGATAATTCCATAAACAATATAACTTTAAGTGAAATTTTATTATTTCATTTAATAATAAAATTAATAATAGTAATGAAATTTTGAATTAAAAATATGTCTTCTTTGAAATTCGATTTCTTACTATTCCCACCATTACGTTCAAGTTTTGTGTTTTGCCTCTTAAAATTACATGCTTATAAATAAAAACTTGTCTACCTAACAGTTCAAAATTTTTCTACTATTATTAAATTACATAATAAAAATTAATCAATATTTACTAAAAGTATTATTCTTCATGCAGCTATCTTTTGATATACGAATTTTATAGTTGTGTGCAAAAATTTTTCAATTTGCTTAAAAAGTTCTTGAGATATGGCGAAATGCACAGAAAATAAAATTAACATTATGGGGTTCAAACTTTGGACCTCTCTCCTGACCAAGCTATGGGGACCATATTTTCCAGACTGCAAGTACTCCCTATATTTTGAGCGCTAGAAATCTGAATCTGTTGCAAAAAAGGTATGTTTCTTCGAGGAAAGTACGTTTTTGAGTGTGATTTTATAACTTAAAATATTGTCTATGTTAATAATTTCACATAAATTGGGTCACCCCTCATGAATCATTAGGATTGAGTCCTAGAACGCAAAGATTAGATCATTAGAACAAATGTTATTCAGAGTAGTCCGTTATTTATTTTGCACATTGTACATCCCTAGTTAGAAGTCTGGGCCTGTGGATATTCTTTAAGGTAATTCGTTGGGTTTTTTAAGCGCTTATGTGTTCATATTATGCTAAATTAGAATTATTATTATGCTAAATTATAAATTTTAGAATCAATTTTGCATTTGAATTTCTTTTAAAATCCAAACCCATTACTTGTGAGAAAGGTGTGATATCAGAATTTATCATTTTGTTTATCATTGATGTTAAATTAGAGAGTGTTGCCATCAGGGCTGCTGCTTTTTGGCTATTACAGTAGGGAACCGATTATCCAGAACGATCTGGACCATCTCTATTCCGGATAACTGATTTTTCTGAATCGCTGCAAAAAGCCTTTTTTTTTATCGTCAAACCGAACTAAAAAAAAATATTAGGAAATAATCTTAAAAAGAAGAAAAAACGATGAAGTAATACAGTAGTGATTATTTCTAAAATGATGGTATGGTAAACATCTTTCAAAAAAGAAAGAAAAATCCTAAAATCTTATGAGGAAAAAAAATTTTTTTTTT